ATTACAACATATTATAAAATAATAAAATCCTCCAAAAAAGAACCCAAAGCAGAGAAAAAACAATGGGTTATAGCAAAGAAATAATTACAGAAAAGTATTTTAACATTTTTCTTTTAAAATGCAGTTTGCAATTCTAAGGTTTGAAATAAAAATGCTATTGAACTCGACTGGACTTTACAACAGTAACTTTACATCCATGAGAGTATCTCAATATTTTTTTTGTCATGTCAGGAGGGACTTGAGAAACTGCAAGTCGCTTCTGTTGTGAGAGAATTGGCCGTCTGCAAGGGCATTGCCCAGCGGACGCCCGGATGATTTGATGTTTTATCATCCTTTGGGAGGCTTCCCTCATGTCCCTGTATGAGGAGCTGGAGCTGATAGAGGGAGTTCATCCGCCTCTCCCCAGATTCAAACCTGCGACCTGTTGGTCTTCAGTCCTGCCGGCACAGGGGTTTAACCCACTGCACCACTGGGGGCTCCTAAATTAAAATGGTGGTCTTCACATTCTGCATTATCTGAACCTTCTGGACCATCTTCGAGAACACCTCAATATGAAATCCATCACTGTAAACCAATTTGGAGGCTATCCCTTCCTAAGAATGGTAATAGCTGATGAACCACATAAAGACAGTCACAAGGCTAACTTGAGCCTCAAATGACAATCAAAAGGCATTAGTGGAAACTAATGGAAAGTGAGCTATGAGGTCCCCTAAAAATCCATCTCATCCCATGTATAGATTTGAATGCTTATCAGCTCATTATGCAACGTATGGTGCTATAGTTTGCCCATCCCTAATCTACATTGAACAAGTCAAGGAGGTAATCTAGGATCTAAGTGGCAGGTACCTAACATCCAACTCTAGCTTTGATTTCAACTGGTACTAGAGATGCTATGCCAGAAAGCTAGAAAATGATGTGCTGAACAATATGATGCAAAGATGAGGTAGTATGAACTCATTATTGTTACCCAATCATATTGGCTAATGGAGGAACACAAGAATATCTTTTATGCCTCCCAGCACTATGCTTTTTACACTTCTGGTCTGCAGATGACCAAAGTTCAGAACAACAATACAAGTTGGAAGTTACCTGAAACTTCCTACTGTGAGACAGGTACCTTCCATGTCAGTATGATATTTATTTCAATCTATTTTTTTCCTATTTTCATGCTAAAACTGCATCAGGTCATCTGCCTTATTGATATGTAATCCACTAGCTACTACTGCATGTTCCAGCATTATTCATTTCAGAGTCAACTTATTTTGTTCACACCAGAAAACCCATTACTTATAGTAATTTTTATCCAAACATAGAAAAAATGGTGGAATGAAAAACATATGAGTATCTCATCTCACACTGAGACAATATTTTTCCTAGATTACTTAGGGGAGAGTTAACAAAAAGCAAATTCAGGGTCTGGAGGTATCGAATTCCCCTTGATATCCTGTTCTGTGGGTCAGCTTACCTGTGCAAATTTATAGGCGCACAGGATATGTGCCATGAAAAGACAGACATTAGAATTAGGTCCCCCAATGACTGCTGCTGGGTTGTCTTGGGTGTCGCATTTGTAGTTAGGGACAAATTTGCCCCAGGTAGAAAGGAGTTCCAGTGAAGCAAGATAAGTAAAGTCGATAAGAAAATTACTGTTGTAAATGAAGAATCCCAAAGTGATGTTGGGTACGATATCAGAATTTTCATTGATCTCCTTAACGGCAAAAATCAAGGCCAGGATGTGTTGGTAGTTGTGAGTAAACACTCTGAAATAACAGTAACAGCAGATTTATATTTCAGATTAGTAAACATTTTCTATCTACATTGCACTAAAATATATTGAAGAATGTCTGACTACAGATTCAGAAAAATGGGCTTGAGCCTTCTACAAACATGATCCAACACAGATGTAGAAGGTGTGAATCAGATTACATGTGTGGGTTATTATTTCTCTCCCACTTTATCTCTCTAAAAAGAGACCCACTAAAAACAATGCAATATTACAAATATGGGATGATATGTATTACTAATTTTCTTTTTCAAAGGAAGCACCAAAGTCATGAATAACTATGAAAGACTTTCACAGGTTATTACTAATTTTATAAATCATGCTCACATGGCATATTTGTGCAGAGAACCACATTTTTGTCCAGACAGAACTGCTAGGCCATTTAATGCTAATCAAGGTGGCCAATTGAAACATTCACAGCAGACAAGAGTTCTTTCTCCCACCTTAGACTTCTAGTTTCCAACAGACGTCACAGCCTCTGAGGATGTCTGCCATAGATGTGGGTGAAATATCAGGAGAGAATGCTTCTGGAACATGGCCATACAGCCCGAAGACCTACAGCAACCACATTTTTTGTGCAGTAAACTACATTTTGACTGTCTGTACAGAAAATACTGCACATATTTTTTTGTACAAGAAACAACCATATTTGCAAGTTTTACATAGATTAAGTCCCATATGACAAACAAGCACATTATCACTTTAAAAATGTATATTTCCTGAGATTCTTTGTATCCTTAATTTAAATCTGTTCCAGCATATAACAATTGAATTTTTAAAAGACTCCAACCTCTCTTATGTCTGAAATGCTGCATGAAGTAATTTAAAAAGAAACCCCAACAACCCCAAATTCATACATCGCATCTCCTTGAGGTTTCCCAACAGGATCTTGTCTCAAAGATAACTCTTCAGAAGATATAAAAATCTGAGACAGAATGGCACCAATGTGCAGGTCTCCAGACATGTGATACTTGTGATGAATACGAAGAGATCGACCCATGTCACATGAACCAGCTGTGCATGCCACCTGAAGCAGACTGAACATCAGCAGAATGAAAATGAGTTGGATTGATAGCTTGATTTTGCATAGAAAGAATCCACTTGGACAACTGTTCAATTCTTCCCACATTGTGATAGAAGTTTCCTGTTGTAGTTCAGCCTATTTGAAATTCTGTTGGTTTGCTAGTTTGAAATCAGTTATGTCCAGTGTGAAATATATGCAGTCCAAGCAATGTAAGCATCTGTTCCTCCATCTACAACTACATTGGCAATATAGATACAATTTATAATAATGCAGGTTCAGTTATAGGTAAACCCCACTGATTTTATGATGTAATCCTATGTATATTAAGAGCACAGTCTGAACCTTTTCTTCACTAATATTACCTGAAGTCTCCAAGAAAATCAAAGAAGTAAATGTGAATATGATAAACTTGATCATTAAATGAGAGCACCCTGGGGCATTGCATAAATATGTTTATCACAACTCCACAGCTGTGTCCACAGATCATACCAAATTTAACAGGAATCATATGGGTTATAATTATGTCTAGAAAACACCGTGTTCAGAATGAAAAAAATCTTGCAAGAAAAGAATTAGACTTAAATGCATTTGTTGATTGCCCAATATTTTACAGAAGTTTGCAACTATGGTATTGGTGTTTCCAAAAGTGTTTCCACTATGCCATGCTGAGTCATTGCCCCCCCCCTCCCCGCCCAAAATGAGACTAGAGATGTCTCTGTTGTTGCTTATGTTGTTTGTTTATTGTTGTTTAAGATTATGCTATTTTAATATTTTAATTGTTTTGCTTTTAACTGTATGTTGCCTTGGACTTGGCCCCCATGTAAGCCGCCCCGAGTCCCTTTGAGGAGATGGAGGCGGGGTAGAAAAATAAAGTTTTTCTTCTTCTTCAGTTCGAGATTGTATATAAAAATATATGTGATACAATCCTATATAGCTCAGCATAAAGTAATGGATATGTACTAGGATGAGCCTTAGGCCACCAATCCCAGCTTTACCATACCAGCCTCCAAGACTTTCCCATTCCAACCACTCTATGCTTTGTGGTTGATAGGCAGAAACAGAGAAGTATTTGACTACAACTGTTTAGTCTGTGTAGTCATCAGGGGTTCTTGAGTAAGTAGGAATGGAGGATTGGACAATGTGAAGGGAGGAAGACAATATCTACCCCCCATCTTATCCAACAAAGGACAGACACATAAAAAAGGTACAGGTGGCCATGTCGGACTAGAATTTTGAACAGTACTTTTTAACCATTTTAATTTAGGTTTTTCTAAAAACTAAAAGGTGATGGCCATAATTTTCAAGTAGACAATGGACTAGCTAATTTGTGCAGTTGTGTGTATGGGGCCAGCAAAATAGTACAATTGAAACTTCAATAAAAGCAGAAAGATCTGTGTGTATCCCTTTCTGTGTCCACATAAAAGGCCCATAAGATCTTCTGATACGTATCCAGATAAAAAATGAAAAGCAGTAAAATCGGAAAATCCAACTTATTTGTGTGTACTCAGAAGTAAGCCTTAGCTCTGTTAATTAGTTCCTCTAATGGCTTTTGTTCTGGAGTCTAGTTGCAACAAGACACTTATAGAAAGGAAGGCTTCCAGATAAATTCAATAGATAATAATATCCTTGAAGAAAGCTTTGACCCAGCTGCAGTGCTGGACACTTTGTTGAGAGTACTCTACTGTTCTGATGTCTGAAGGACAAAACACAGATTACTGGAATGGACAGGAAAGAAAGATAGATAATGTTGTGAGAGCCTGGATGAATCAGGGTGCTCATCATCAAACCAACCAGAATGGTTTTCCATAGAGATGGAAGGAGAAACTTCACAATTTTGTTTTCGAAAAAAATGATGGTGTACTGCTTTTGTGGAAATGCAGGCCTTAATATCTAGAATGAGAACCAACTATAATGTATTTTCTCAGATGGCAAAAGATGCTTTGACTTGGCAATTTGTCAGGGCTTCTATTGTCCCCCTATCCAAACTATAGTCCTGGTCTTAACACATATTCCAGCTGTCACCCATCCTGGTAGGAAAATTGTGATCCCAATTGAATAAATTGAAAATTCTGTCTCAAAATGGAGATTGCCAGCAAAACAGGGCAGTATCATCCATCTTACAAGTGAAGAAAATTCACAGGAGAACAGTCTTAGTGAATAAAACTCATTGTAGTGGGAAAAGAAACAGATATGTGCTTAATGTTTCCTATTTATTAGTTGTTTCCTTATGTTCATATCAGGGCTCATGACAATAGTATAGCACTTGGGGAAAAATATGAATCCCAGTAACCCAGTGCTGGAAGCCAAAATTGAGAAGATCTCCACAGCCACTGTGTATTTTCCCTTGGTGCTTAAGTACGTTGGCACAAAGGAAATCCACACACTGCAGAAGACCAACATACTGAAGGTGATGAACTTGGCTTCATTGAAACTGTCAGGCAACTTCCTGGCAAAGAATGCTGAAGTGAAACTGCAAATAGACAGGAAACCCATAAAACCCAGGACACAGTAAAACATGGAAACAGAACCTTCATTACATTCGAGAATGACTTCTTCAGCCATTGAGTTTACATCAAAATCTGGAAATGGAGGAAAGGTAGCCAACCATACTGTACAAATTGTGACTTGAATGAGCAAGCAGAAGAGAATAATGGAGGCGGCCGTTCTTTTCCCCAACCATTTCCTCAAACGAGACACAGGCTTGGTGGTTTGGAAAGCAAGAATCACAATGATAGTTTTTGCCAACACAGAAGAAACAGCCACAGAGAAGATGATGCCAAAAGCTGTCTGACGAAAGAGGCAGGTCATCTTCCGTGGCTGTCCAATGAAGAGCAGAGCACAAAGGAAGGAGAGCAGGAGGGAGAGGAGGAGGGTGTAGGTGAGACTCCGATTATTGGCTTTGACAATGGGAGTGTCCCGGTGTTTGATGAAGATCCCAAGCACTCCAGCAGTCACACAAACAAGGAGAAGAGCAGAGCTGGTCAAACCTGTTCCCAGAGCATCTTCAAAAGTGAGAAAAATTAGAGATTTGGGGTTGCAGAAATCCTTAAACTTGTTTGGGTAATGATCTTCTGGACATTGAAAGCAGGCATCCACATCTGGGGAAAAGAAAACATTGATATATATGGCAACATCACTTAATAGAACAGAACACTGATTTGAAAGACGATAGTAAAGGCTATGAAGTCAACCATTGCACACCATGTGTCTGTTAGATAATATCAACTAGAAAATTGTGCGCAAGGCACCATTTGTATGGCCTTGGCTATACACTATTGAGAGAGGTTGAAATAAAACAGGGCAAGAGTAATGTCCAATACTATCAAAATTGAGATGGAAAATCTATTCTTTGGAGCAAGGTTGCAGGATCTCCATGAATTTATTCTGGATAAGAAACTCAAGGCAGCAATGGAATATCATTCATTGATTCAGGCCATGATGTGATACTTCTGATCCAAATTGAGCCTTCTCTACTTCTACTCATCCAGCACATCATTGCCTCCACTCAAGCCCAACTCTAAATGCTTGTTAGGCTGCATAGGAGTGGGACAAGCGCTCCCTATTGAGCCACTACTCTAAGGAATGTTTCAGGCCTGGAAGGAGAGTTCACAATGCATTTGGCATCTGAATAAGGAGATGTTATGAATTTCGTTTTCAATCCATGAGTGATGGAAGTTCTCTAGGTATCCTAGTAACCTGATTAAAACAGCAAAGGAGCAGAGGTTTCTTTCCACAATCTGAAAAGCTTTCATCTTGCAGTTTCGGCAATACATACATGCTGAGTAGCCGAGCTAAACCAGCCCCTTGGTTTAACAAGGAGCTGGCAGCGATGAAGTGAAGGAAGAGGAGACTAGAGGGTGAGTGGCATTTGGATCCGTGTGAGTCAAATCGAATACAACTTGATGCCCTCCTAATCTTTCTTTGCGGCCAATATTGCATCCACAAGGAACCATCCGGCGGAGCTGTTCCGAGTGGTCAGAGGCCTTTTAAATCCCACCATCCAGGATGGGAACTCTGACAACTTGGCAGCCTGCTGTGAAGCATTTGCTCGGTCCTTTGCCGTCAAAGTCGCTTTGATCCGCTCTGGTCTGGATACCATGTTAACGGCAGTCTCTGAGGATGTAACAGGAGCATCTGCTTTTCTGATTTTGATGGATTCATTTCAATTGGTGAAACCCAAGGATGTGGACAAGATACTTGGAGGAATGAGGCCAACCACCTGCATCCTAGACCCCTGCCCATCCTGGCTTTTAAAGGAAACCAGAGGGGGATTGGTCGAGTGGGTGAAGTTGGTGGTTAATGCCTCCTTTTGTGAAGGCAATATTCCAGTGAGTTTAAAACAAGCTATAATAAAACCACTATTGAAAAAGCCATCACTGGACCCCACTCAATTCGACAACTATTGGCCAGTTTCCAATCTCCCCTTCTTGGGCAAAGTCCTGGAATATGTGGTGGCTTCACAACTCCAGGTATTCTTGGAAGAGATGGATTATCTGGATCTGGCGCTGTATGGCTTTAGGCACTCTTTTACACTATTCCCACATGAAACTAAAACCAAAGTTTTGTTCTTGCATGTACATGTACACATAGAGTGTGAAGAATTCCAGAAATTTGAAAAATGTTTCATGTGAAGTTAAAGGAAGGAAGGAAGGAAGGAAGGAAGGAAGGAAGGAAGGAAGGAAGGAAGGAAGGATCACACTTACCCTTCTTGATTGAAATCTTTCCTTCTGGACATGGAATGCAATCGTAGCAGCAAAATGGCTCCCCTTCTTTCTTTCTTTTACTGTAACCTGGATAACAATTGTCATTACACAGAGAAACAGGTTGTGCCTATCAACAAACAAAGGAAAATATTTCATAGTGATGATCCTCAGCTCTGGTTCTCCCTCCAATCTAATTCCATGGAATCTGTTTCAGTTCTAAATTTATGTCTAGCATTTCTAATGGATCAGTCCTGACAAGGCAGAGGTGCTAATGGTCAGTTAAAATGGAGATAAGAAAATCAGGATATACCTTGTGTTGGTTGACGTTACACTGAAGGTACACAGATAAACAACAGTGTGGCCTTAGCCTTGAATATGGAGGGCAAGGTTTATGCAGATTCCAAGTGTAATTTGGCACACTTAAATACTACAGGGCCAACTCCACCCATTGCTGAAGAAATCTGATCCATCCACAGTTACACATGTCTTGATGACATCTCATTTGGATGGCTCTTCCACACTCCACACTCCACACTCCACACTCTTCCACACTCCACACTCCACACTTCCACACTCCATGAGGAGTTGAGTGTTCCAAACTTTCAGCTGGGACAAAGAGTAAGTCCCCTAAGTCTGTGAGCTCCACAACTCAAAATGTTGGTTGTGTTATAGAAAGGTTTACACAACAGACATCTAGAATTACTGGACAAATCATATCTACCTGACTGAGATTGGCTGAATCTGATATTTGCTTTAAAAGTCTACCACTTTTGGTCGCACCACCTTTACAAATATGCTTGGTGGAAACAGGAGAGAGGACCTATTCAGTGGAGGAGAAAGAATGAAAGAAGAACACTCTCTGGTTTGGATGCTGCCTGATAGTTTCCCCACCAAGATGGCATGCTTATAATATCATGACACTGAGATTCTATACATACTTTTTTGGTGGTGGGGGGTAGAGGTGGCGAATTTATTCACATCCTACCTGATTGAACCAGCTGGGCCATACAATGGCATCCTCATGAACAGTGAACTCAATGGTCGGCAGAGACTGTGGATCTATCCTTCCCACTTTTACTCGACTAAAGGTCTTATTGGGGAATGTGACCCAATTGATGATATCAAACCCAGCTACTAATTCCCCATTTTTATTAAATGAAATCTCTTCACCAACTGTGTTGTTAAAGATAACACTTTTTAGGAAGTGATGAACCTAAATTGAGGGGAGAATATGCAGTTACAAATGATGCTCACGATCCAAATAAGTAAGATAAGCAATCTTTCCAATGTACTATCCAGAATTCACCTGGAAAGCTCCTGGAGTATTTTGTATGGCATATTCTACGCACTATTGGGAGAAACTGAGATAAAGCAAGGCGAGACAGATGGTCAATACTATCAAAACTGAGATGGAAAACCTATTCTTTGGAGCAAGGGCATAGGATCTCTGTGATTTTATCCTGGAAAGGAGAAGACTAAATTTAAAAAGGGCACAAAAGCTGGAACAACACACAAAAGGCATCCTGTTTTGTTGCTGTGTGTTGCCTACTAGGGCTGGGCGGTTTCGTTTCGTTAATTCGTAATTCGTTAAAAATTCGTTATTTTTTTTGTTAACGAAGCGATAACGAACCATTCTGGAGCAACTTAAAAACGAAACGAATTTTTCAATTCGTTTCGTAAATGCTTCGTATTCCGTTATGTATTCGTTTCGTTATTGGTTTGAGGTCGTTTCGTTATTATTTCCGCATGTCTGGGGCAAGTTTTATAGTTGTTTTTTGTTTAATTAGTGAAAAAAAATTATAATATCACACCAACAGTCAACAACAGAGGGAGAGGGAAGCTTCAGAAGTTTTTTTAGCGTATTGCGCGATCGCGGCCGCCATTAACGAATCGATTCGTTATTGTTTCGTTATTGTTTTGTAATTTTTTACCATTTACGAAATTTTGTAAATATCGAACTTTTTTTAAGGAAAATTTCGGAATTCTTTTAAATATCGAAACGCAAAAAACCCAAAAAACGAATCGATTTTAGAAACAAATTTTTCCGTTGTTACCCAGGCTTATTGCCTACTATCTATGACAAACCTAAAGTAAGGCAGTTTTCCTGGCAAGATTTGTTCAGAGGCAGTTTGTTTTCAATATGCACCTATTCTCCATTAAGTAGATACGGAAATGCAAAGATTGACAGACAAACACCTCATCCATTTGTACTAATAGTAACTAGACAAAAATAGATAAAATGAAATAAAAATGAAATGGAGGTGATCATATCATATATAATATATATATTTACTGAAATTTGGATGTATAGACTAAATTTGCATGAAGTGTAATAGCAAAATACAATAATAAGTTGTTACCTAATGAATCAAGTATATTCCAGTTTTAATATGCACAGAAGCAGCTATGAAGTCACAGTAAAAGGAGGGTGAATCAGTCCTAATGCCTGGACACCAGAATTCAACCATTACCTGCCATGGTTGCATTTTTGGAAGGTCTGTGATCCCCGTTGTTCTGCGTTTGAAGTTGGATGAATCCATGTCATGCAGAGTATGTGCGACAGCATAGACAGCGTTGTAGATGCTGTAGCTGTGGCTGCTCATGCTCATTTCAAAAACAGACATAGGAAGAGTCTCCAGCTTGTCCTCCTCAGTGCAGATATTTTCAAGGGACTCGTCTAAATTGGGCCCAGGAAATGAACACATGAATGCCTGTTGCCAGAAGTCCCTGATAAAGCCATCTTCTCGATCTGTGTCTGGTTTTCGGTTCCACAGAAATTCATGGAATCCTGACACTTTTTTGGGGAGAAGTGAAACAGATAAAGCTCCATGGATGAAGCTCAGGTCCCAGTCTCTTTGAACTGGGAGTGAAGCAAAATCTATTTCAGCTGCCAAAATCCAGACTTTATTTATTTTTGGTAAATCATGATAAAATGTAATTTCTAACCACACTCTCAAAGCTAGAATTGACTGAACTTCTCCATTTAGGATCACTACTTTGGCAGTACTTGTCCCAAGGAGGTATGATGTTTCAATAAGCTTCTTCGCCATTGTTTCCATTTCACTGAAAAAGTTTAGGGGAGATATGGCTTTTATGAAGTCAAAGCAGATACCTTTTTGCACGAACATGGGGATTACTTCAAGTACAAATCTTTGTCCTATTTCATTATCTAGATAAATCACTCCAATCCACGTCCACTGGAAATGCAACATTAAGTCGAGAATCCCAGTGTATTGATGGGTCTCGTTTGGGAACATGTGGTGAAAGAAAACAGCTTCCTTTTTGTTATCCATTAGTGGAGAAGAGCCATACGTGATCTTCAGGATGAGAGATAAGGAAAGAATTATCATATTAGGAAATTACATCTACCAGTTAATTTAAAATTAATGATTGAATGACATAACTGTATCAGTTAGTGTATCCGTACTATTGAAATTACAACATATTATATAATAATAAAATCCTCCAAAAAGGAATCCAAAGCAGAGAAAAAATAATGGGTTATAGTAAGGAAATAATTACAGAAAAATATTTTAACATTTCTCTTTTAAAATGCAGTTTGCAATTCTAAGGTTTGAAAGAAATGCCATTGAATTCGACTGGACTTTACAACAGTAAGTAGCTGAACCTTCTGGACCATCTTCGAGAACACCTCAATATGAAAACCATCATTCTAAACCAACTTGGAGGAAAATTCTGTGACCAGGCTATCCCTTCCTAAGAATGGTCATAGCTGATGAACCAGATAAAGCTAATCAGATGGCTAACTTGAGCCTCCAATGGCAATCAAAAGCTAACCAACCATCCTTTCAAGGGGAGGAAATAACTCTAGGGGGTTATTTCCACATACATGGAATTTCTAAACATTGACAGACTTTCCACTTTGATAAACTTCATCCTGATGATTGTCATTTCCAGAAATTGGTTTACCTGATGTATAGTAGAAGAAAATATAGATATTGGGGTGGGTGTAATGACTCTTACCTAATAGGTCAGAGTAGAAGCCTGGGAAGACAGTAGGGCAAATCTCCATTTTGAGAGTGTCTGCCAGTAAAGCAGCCATCTTGAGGGTGGATAGTTAGAAGATGGGAGGAGTTGGAGGTCTCCTGGGATTGGCTAGAGCAGATGGGAGGAGCCAAGTCTTGGTGTGCCGTTACACCCAGGCATTATAAAAATAAAACTACAATGTGCTGCTCTCTATATCTGAGCGAACTGCAGATGTCTTTCTTAAGAAGTTTGAGATATTCAGCAACTGAGGCCTTTGAACATCAAAAAAGGAATATTTATTCTTCAAAGTCCTTGCAGACTTGGCACAGTTCATCAAAGTTACAAACAGAACAGTCAATAGATGAAACAATAGAGATGATCTTTCTTTCCTTTCCTTGAGTTACTGAGGCAACTTTTCCCCAAAATGGCAGAAGAAAATCCTGAGATTTTTTCACCCTAACCCTGAGCTGCTATGGTTTAGAAAAAAGCAGGTTTCCCCCCACTATCTATAGCTGAAGGTTAGCTTTGGAGATGAGGTAATGCTCAATACCTATCTATCTATCTATCATCTATCTATCTATCTATCTATCTATCTATCTATCTATCTCTATAGTATTCAATAGCTTCTCTATCTAAATTTTAATATGCTTTTATATAGCTCAATATCTCAATAGTATCTCAATAGTCTTAATAGTCTTAATATCTTAATAGTCTTAAAAAGCTTTTCTATATCTCAATCAGCTATAACTCAAACTCAATCGTACTCACAATGATTTTCCCAGAGCTACCCTGAATAACCACCAGCACATCTGAAGCTCCTTCTCTAAACTAAAAAGGCAGGGTAGATTCCAAAATGGAGATCTCAAGCCCAGGAGAAGGGGTAGGCTCTAAACCCAAAGAGCTGCTCTCTAGGCCAATAGTTGCAAAGAGGCCTGCAGGCTGGCTTTCCAGCCTCTGTAACCGTTAACTTTTAGGGCTCTTGCAGAGCTGCAGCAGCCCTAGAAGAAAATGCAAGGGGAGCAACTTCAAGCAACTGTAAGGTAAGGCAAACCAGTCTCCTGGGAGATGGAACACTTGGGAGGGAAAAGATTTCAGCTTCTGAGAGAGAGGAGAGTGGGGATTTGGAAACTGAAGGAAGAAGAAGTGGTTTTGAGATTGGGTTTTTCTGAGAGAGTGTTTGTGTCAGGCAGGGCTGAATAATTGGCAAGAAAGGTCAAGCAGCCTCCTGATTACTTGTGGGAGACAACACAAGGGATTTGCTCTCTAGGTTGAGTAAGTTAGCTGTAAAGGACGCTGGTGAGAGTTAGCTAATTGCTCAGAAGACAACCTGGGATAGGTTAGTCAAGAACTCATTGCTATTTTGCTGAAGTAGAGTGAGGGATTTTTGTTTGTAACTACTAGCTATATCTGTGAGATTAGCTCTGTTTGTAACCAAGTCAAGAGACTTTTTCTAAGCAACCATTAAAATATTATGCTATAGTAACAAGTCAAGCGTGTGTGCCTCTCAAAAGAAGAAATCAATTGTCTGTTTGTTTTTATAAATAAATCTTTTCTCTGTTTGACTTTGAAGTAGCCTCTGTTGTTACTCATTCCATAGGTAATCCTTGAATAGAATTTTCAGTCAGTTTGACATCCTAATACCACAGAAAGGTCTCTTATCGAAACAGTCATTTTAGGAGCTAAGGGGAGAGCTGTGCTAGCAGAGAGGGAAAAGGTTACCTCAAAACTCATTTTTAAAATCCTAAGACATCTTGGGTGGTGGCAGCATTAAACCAAAAGAAGACTGAAGCAGTGTTCACTCTACCATTACACACATATAACATGTATTTATTATTTATTTATTTACCACATTTATATGCCACCCTTCTCACCCCAAAGGGGACTCAGAGCGGCTTACAAGATATAATTGTTTCAGATTTGGGCACTATTTTCTTTGGACTTCATTCTGGTCTTGATGTAATACAATTAAGACACAAGGAGTCATTCAATAGGTGTTGTTATGGCCGGGCAGCTAGGCCATTGAAGTACTCTCACTGTGAGGCTGTGTGGCCATGGAGGTGCCCTGCCCAGGAGTTGAAAGGCAGCAGGGCCGAAGAGGTGTTGCTATGGCCCTGCACAGGTGTTGCTATGGCCGGTAGTGGGCAGTTAGGCCATTGAAGTACTCTCACTGTGAGGCTGTGTGGCCATGGAGGCACCCTGCCCAGGAGTTGTAAGGCAGCAGGGCCGAAGAGGTGTTGCTATGGCCCTGCACAGGTGTTGCTATGGCCGGCAGTGGGCAGTTAGGCCATTGAAGTACTCTCAGTGTGAGGCTGTGTGGCCATGGTGGCACCCTGCCCAGGAGTTGTAAGGCAGCAGGGCTGAAGAGGTGTTGGTATGGCCCCGCGCAAGTGTTGCTATGGCCGGCAGTGGACAGGTAGGCCGTTGAAGTACTCTCATTGCCAGGCTACCATAATCATATCGCTACCATAATGTAGATCAGCTGGGGCATGATTCCTCCATACTATTGTCCAGTGGTGTGATATCACACATAATCCTTTACATGGGTGTTCAGCTGTGGGATATATTATAGTATATCGTATGACCCTTTATATTGGGGTCCTGCGGCATGATATACATTGATATTTGGTGTTAGATCATTAGGGGGATTCACCTCTGTTACAGTGGTGGCAAGCAGCGAGATTCATAATAAGAGATAACTCCTTTTCATTATAGTGGGGAACGAGGGAATGGCATCTTGATAAAACTCATCATTCAATGATGTTATCCAAGGGAGATGGGCCATTATGGGACTTCACTTCTCAGATTCCACTAGATTCTATAAAGGCCCATTGAGATTATGTACAGACTCATACTTGGAAGGGGTTTGAGGCATGACTTAAAGGATCCAGTGGAAACTGAGCTGTGAAATCCCCTAAATATCCATCTCATCCCATGTATAGATTTGAATGATTATCAGCGTATTACGCAACGACGTATGGTGCTATAGTTTGCCCATCCCTAATCTACATGGAACAGTTCAAAGAGGTAATCTAGGATCTAAGTGACAGGTAGATAACATCCAACTCTAGCTTTGATTTCAACTGGTACCAGACATGATATGCCAGAAAGCTAGAAAATTATGTGCTATACAATATGATGCAAATATGATGTATTATGAACTCATTATTGTTGCCCAATGATATTGGCAAATGGAAGGACACATGAATATCTTTTATGTCTCCCAGCACTATGCTTTTTACACTTCTGGTCTGCAGATGACCAAAGTTCAGAACAACAATACAAGTAACCAAAATGGAAAAAAATCCTTACCTTAAACTTCCTACTGTGAGACAGGTGCCTTCCATGTCAGTGGGATATTGATTTCAATCTATTTTTTTCACATTTCCATGCTAAAACTGCATCAGTTCAGCTGCCACATGTATATGTAACCCACTAGCTATTCCTGCATGTTCCAGCATTAATAATTTCAGAGTCAACTTATTTTGTTCACACCAGAAAACCCATTGCTTATAGTAATTTTATCCAAACATAGAAAGAATGGTAGAATGAAAAACATCTGAGTATCTCATTTCACACCGAGGCAATACTTTTCCTAGATTGCTTAGAGGAGAGTTAAGAAAAAGCAAATTCAGGGTCTGGAAATATCTAATGCTCCTTGAAATCCTGTTCTGTGATTGAGCTTACCTGTGCAAATTTATAGGCGCACAGGATATGTGCCATGAAAAAACAGACATTAGAAGTAGGTCCCCCAATGACTGCTGCTGGGTTGTCCTGGGTGTCACATTTGTAGTTAGGGACAAATTTGCCCCAGGTTGAAAGTAGTTCCAGTGAAGCAAGATAAGTAAAGCCGGCAAGAAAATTACTGTTGTAAATGAAGAATCCCAGTGTGATATTGGGTAAGATATCGGAATTTTCATTTATTTCCTTAATGGCAAAAATCAAGGCCAGGATGTGTTGGTAGTTGTGAGTAAACACTCTGAAAAAAAAACAGTAACAGCAGATTCATATTTTAGATTAATATACATTTTCTATCTGCATTGCACTAAAAAATATTGAATGTCTGACTACAGAAGAGTAAAAAATATGAATACCAAAAAATTGGCTTGAGCAATCTACAAATATATGATCCAAAACTGATGTAGAAGGCGTGAATCAGATTTCAAGTGTGGGTTATTATTATTTCTCTCCCACTTTATCTCTCTAAAAAGAGACCCCATTAAAAACAATGCAATACTACAAACGTGGGATGATATTTGTTACTAATTTTCTTTTTCAAAGGAAGCAACAAAGTCTTGAATAACTATATGAAAGATTTTCACAGGTCATTACTAATTTTATAAATGAGGCTCACATGGCATTTTTGTGTAGACAACCACATCTTCTGGGCAGGAAACTACATTTCGAATTTCTGTACAGAAAATGCTGCACATATTTTTTTTTTGTACAGAAACAACCATATTTGCAAGTTTTACATAGAATAAGTCCCATATGGCAAACAAGCACATTCTCTCTTTAAAAATGTATATTTTGTAATATTCTTTCTATCCTTAAACCAGTTCCAACATATAACAATTGCATTTTTAGAAGATCCCAACCTCTCCTATGTCTGAAGCGCTGTATAAAGTAATTTGAAAAGAAACCCCAACAACCCCAAATTCATACATTGTATCTCCTTGAAGTTTCCCAACAGGATCTTGTCTCAAAGATAACTCTTCAGAAGATATAAAAATCTGAGACAGAATGGCACCAATGTGCAGGTCTCCAGACATGTGATACTTGTGATGAATACGAAGAGATCGACCCATGTCACATGAACCAGCTGTGCATGCCACCTGAAGCAGACTGAACATCAGCAGAATGAAAATGAGTTGGATTGATAGCTTGATTTTGCATAGAAAGAATCCACTTGGACAACTGTTCAATTCTTCCCACATTGTGATAGAAGTTTCCTGTTGTAGTTCAGCCTATTTGAAATTCTATTGGTTTGCTAGTTTGAAATCAGTTATGTCCAGTGTGAAATATATGCAGTCCAAGCAATGTAAAGCATCTGTTCCTCCATCTACAACTACATTAGCAATATAGATACATTTTATAATAACACAGGTTCAGTTATAGGTAAATCCCAATGATTTTATGATGTAATCCTGTGTCTATTAAGAGCACAGTCTGAACCTTTTCTTCACTAGTATTACCTGAAGTCTCCAAGAAAATCAAAGAAGTAAATGTGAATATGATAAACTTGATCATTAAATGGGAGCACCCTGGGGCATTGCATAAATATGTTTATCACAACTCCACAGCTGTGTCCACAGATCATACCAAATTTAACAGGAATCATATGGGTTATAATTATGTCTAGAAAACACCGTGTTCAGAATGAAAAAAAGCTTGCAAGAAAAGAATTAGACTTAAATGCATTTGTTGATTGCCCAATATTTTACAGAAGTTTGCAACTATGGTATTGGTGTTTCCAAAAGTGAGAAGATCAGCATTGCTGTATTTGATCACAAGCTAGATCAGGGGTCCTCAAACTACGGCCCAGAGGCCGGATACAGCCCTCCAACATCATTTACCCGGCCCTCGCTCAGTGTCAACCTAGGTCTGACATGACTTGAAAGCACACAACAACAACAACTATCTCATCAGCCAAAAGCAGGCCCACACTTCCCAATGAAATACTAATAATTTTTTGTTGTGCTTCATTTTAATTATTGTATTGTTTTTAAGTGTTATTAGCACTACAAATAAGATATGTGCAGTGTGCATAGGAATTCATTCATTTTTTTTTTCAAATGATAATCCGGCCTTCCAACACTTTGAGGGACTGTGACCTGGCCCTCTCTTTAAAAAGTTTGAGGACTCCTGGGCTAGATAGTCTACTTATTCATGCTATGTTTAATCCTGGAGATGGAGACACCAGTGGTGCAATGGGTTTAAACCCTTGTGCTGGTAGGACTGCTGACCAATAGTTCAGCGGTTCGAATCTGGAGAGAGCGGGTTGAGCTCCCTTTTTCAGCTTCAGCTCCCCATACAGGGACATGAGAGAAGCCTCTCACAAGGGTGGTAAAACACCAAACATCCGGGCATCCCCTGGGCAACATCCTTGCAGACATGAAAAAAATGGAATTACACAGTTTCAACTGTGATGGCTTATTTGTCCCTGGTGCTTATGTTAGGTGGGCTCCATCCCAGTTTGGCTGGTTGGTGGAGGAAGGGGACTAAGCAGACATTTGCCCCCTGCCTATTTGAGAAAGCCATGAAATGAAATGGAGAATGTATTGATGTGAAGCACCTCAGAGCATTGAATGGACAAAGGGAACATTTTTGAATTTCATTGTTTAAGGTCATGGGATATAGGCATTGGAATGGAGATCAACCTTAGGGTTGTCCTGGGACTCGGATCTTTTTGAAGTTTTGAATTACACAATGTCCTCCATTAAAATTTTGCTAGGTACAAAACGACCAGACATAGCTGACCCTCAGCACCAGGCTGTGAGTTGGCAAGGGAGAAGCTTAAGATCTCTTTGTCCTCAAGCAGCACAGTCAATAACCATATTGGATGAAGGTTATAACATTGCCCATGCCTTCATTTCTGACATATGAAACCATAAGGTGAACCTATGGTGTTGTTTTCCTGGCAAGAGTCCTTCAAAGGAAGACTGACTTAGCATTCCTTTAAGACTGAGAGAATGATTCTGTTTTTACCACACTGTTATTATTTAAGTGTTTATTAACATTTGTATTGCACTTTTTATATTTGTCCAGTGTAGTTTGTTAGCTGCCTTCAGTCCCCACAGGGAGAAAGGTGGGGTATAAATAAAATTAACAAAAACAACAATTCTCCCTAGTTGGATGGAGATTCAAACCCTGTCTCCAGTCATAATCCAAATCTTAAACCACTATGCCATGTTGAGTCATTGGCCCCCCTCCCCGCCCAAAATGAGACTAGAGATGTTTCTGTTGTTGCTTATGTTGCTTGTTTATTGTTATTTATGATGATGCTGTTTTAATATTTTAATTAGGTTCTTGTGGGTTTTTTCGGGCTATAGGGCCATGTTCTAGAGGCATTTCTCCTGACGTTTCGCCTGCATCTATGGCAAGCATCCTCAGAGGTAGTGAGGTCTGTTGGAAATAGGACAATGGGTTTACATATCTGTGGAATGGCTGGGGTGGGGCAAAGAGCTCTTCTCTGCTGGAGCTAGGTGTGAATGTTTCACTACCTCTGTGGATGCTTGCCATAGATGCAGGCGAAACGTCAGGAGAAATGCCTCTAGAACATGGCCATATAGCCCGAAAAAACCCACAAGAACCTAGTGATTCCAGCCATGAAAGCCTTCGACAATACAATATTTTAATTGTTTTGCTTTTAACTGTATGTTGCCTTGGGCCCCCATGTAAGCCGACCCGAGTCCCTTTGGAGAGATGAAGGCGGGGTAGAAAAATAAAGTTCTTCTTCTTCAGTTCGAGATTGTATATAAAAATATATGCGATACAATCCTATATAGCTCAGCATAAAGTAATGGATGTACTAGGCTGAGCCACAGGCCATCAATCCCAGATTTACCATACCAGCCTCCAAGCCTTTCCCATTCCAACCACTCTGTGCTTTGTGGTTGATAGGCAGGAACAGAGAAGTATTTGACTACATCTGTTTAGTCTGTGTAGGCATCAGGGGTTCTTGAGTAAGTAGGAATGGAGGACTTGACAATGTGAAGGAAGACAATATCAATCCCCATCTTATCCAACAAAGAACAGACACATGAAAAATGTACAGGTGGCCATGTCTGACTAGAATTTTGAACAGTCATTTTTAACCATTTTAATTGAGGTTTTTCTAAAAACTAAAAGGTGATGGCCATAATTTTCAAATGGACAATGGACTAGCTAATTTGTGCAGTTGGGTGTATGGGGCAGGCAAAATAGTGAAAGTACATTTGAAACGTCAATAAAAGCATAAAAATCTGTTTGTATCCCCTTCTGTGTCCATATAAAAGGCCCATAAGATCTTCTGATAACTATCCAGATAAAAAAAATGAAAAGCAGTAAAATCGGAAAATCCAACTTATTTGTGTCTACTCAGAAATAAGCCTTAGCACTTTTAATTAGTTCCTCTAATGGCTTTTGTTCTGGAGTCTAGTTGCAACATGCAACAAGACAGAGAAAGAAAGGCTTCCAGATAAATTCAATAGATAATATCCTTGAAGAAAACTTTGACCCAGCTGCAGTGCTGGACACTTTGTTGAGAGTACTCTACTCTTCTGATCTCTAAAGGACAAAACACAGATTACCGAATGGACAGGAAAGACAGATAATATTGTGAGAGCCTAGATGAATCAGGGTGCTCATCATCGAACCAACTAGAATGGTTTTCCATAGTGAGGCAAAGAGAAACTTCACAATTTTGTTTTGGAAAAATTGATTGTGTACTGCTTTTGTGGAAGTGTGCTGCAAAGGAGTCCACTAAAAGCCGGCACCAAATTGTAAAAGGCTCTTGTATTAATACCACTGGATGCCACCCTATTTGTGTTGTGAGGTAATTATGATAGATTGGGTACACCGAGCGTAGAATAAATGGAGGTGAGGCAGTTTTAAAAACCAAAGAGAACAAGTTTATTTGAAACAAAGCGTATGGTTGCAGTTTGATGTTAAGCTTGGCAAATACTTAGAGAACGATACATGTAACTTGGTTGTGATACAGTTCAGACTTTCGATGTTACAACTTATGAAACTCTTGCTGTGGTGAAGCACTTCAATAAACAATGTTTTACTGTGGTGAATAGTCTCCCCGTTTGATTCTTCTATGATCAAACACCAGATCTCTAGTTCTTTTAACTAGGGATCTAAACAAGCCTTTGTTAGTTCTTTCTAACTAAAGAAACTAATAAGGTTTTCCTCTTCAGCTTTCCTAACTGAAGAAATCTCTGACTATTCACGAACACTGTCTCTCTCCTGACTCTTCCCTTCTCAGAGTCTCTCTAACCTGACTCTTTCCTTCTCAGAGTCTCTAACCTGACTCTTCCCTTCTCAGAGTCTCTAACCTGACTGACTCTTAACTGTCGCTTTTCAAAAACACCCTTCTCTAAGCTCCTCCCACTCCTCTGCAGCATCGTTTCCATGGTAACACACTCCTCACAGCTAGGCCGCTCCAGCCTTAGGGCAACCAATGCAAACATAAATACAGTTATAATCATATTATTATAATCACTTCTGTACATGTGCTTTCCCAAAAGTGATACAATATCCTTTTTCCATTTGTTGTCCAACCAATTTTTTTCTCACTGGAGACTCAAGGGAGGATCACCAGCAAGAGATTAAAATCAGGAAATGCAGGCCTTAATCTCTAGGATGAGAACAAACTATAATGTATTTTCTCAAATGGCAAAAGATGCTTTGACTTGGCAATTTGTCAGGGTTTCTATTGTCCCCCTGTCCAAACTATAGTCCTGGTCCTAACACATATTCCAGCTGTCACCCATCCTGGTAGGAAAATTGTGATCACAATTGAATACATTGAAATTTCTGTCTCAAAATGGAGATTGCCAACAAAAGAGGGCAGTATCATCCATCTTATCTATGAAGAAAATTCACAGGAGAACAGTCTTAGTGAATACAACTCATTGTAGTGGGAAAAGAAACAGACATGTGCTTAATGTTTCCTATTTATTAGTTGTTTCCTTATGTTCATATCTGGCCTCATGACAATGATATAGCACTTGGGGAAAAATATGAATCCCAGTAACCCAGTGCTGGAAGCCAAAATTGAGAAGATCTCCACAGCCACTGTGTATTTTCCCTTGGTGCTTAAGTACGTTGGCACAAAGGAAATCCACACACTGCAGAAGACCAACATGCTGAAGGTGATGAACTTGGCTTCATTGAAACTGTCAGGCAACTTCCTGGCAAAGAATGCTGAAGTGAAACTGCAAATAGACAGGAAACCCATAAAACCCAGGACACAGTAAAACATGGAAACAGAACCTTCATTACATTCGAGAATGACTTCTTCAGCCATTGAGTTTACATCAAAATCTGGAAATGGAGGAAAGGTAGCCAACCATACTGTACAAATTGTGACTTGAATGAGCAAGCAGAAGAGAATAATGGAGGCGGCCGTTCTTTTCCCCAACCATTTCCTCAAACGAGACACAGGCTTGGTGGTTTGGAAAGCAAGAATCACAATGATAGTTTTTGCCAACACAGAAGAAACAGCCACAGAGAAGATGATGCCAAAAGCTGTCTGACGAAAGAGGCAGGTCATCTTCTGTGGTTGTCCAATGAAGAGCAGAGCACAAAGGAAGGAGAGCAGGAGGGAGAGGAGGAGGGTGTAGGTGAGACTCCGATTATTGGCTTTGACAATGGGAGTGTCCCGGTGTTTGATGAAGATCCCAAGCACTCCAGCTGTCACACAAAACAAGAAAAGAGCAGAGCTGGCCAAACTTGTTCCCAGAGCTTCTTCAAAAGTGAGGAAAGTTAGAGATTTGGGGTTGCAGAAATCCTTAAACTTGTTTGGATAATGATCTTCTGGACACTGACAGCAATCGTCCATATCTGGGGAAAAGGAACCAATGAAATATTATAGTTCATGACTTCTTTAATGTCAGTCTTTAAACATTATTTAAAAACTACAAATTCTGAGAGTGCCTTGGACCGCAAGAAGATCCAACCAGTCCATACTCCAGGAAATAATGCCTGACTGCTCACTGGAGGGAAGGATATTAGAGGCAAAGATGAAGTACTTTGGCCACATAATAAGAAGACAGGAAAGCTTAGAGAAGACAATTATGCTGGGGAAAATGGAAGGAAAAAGGAAGAGGGGCCGACCAAGGGCAAGATGGCTGGATGGTATCCTTGAAGTGACTGGCTTGACCTTGAAGGAGATGGGGATGGCCACGGCTGACAGGGAGCTCTGGAGTGGGCTGGTGCAGGAGGTCATGAAGAGTTGGAAGCTACTGAACAAATCAACAACAACAAATGAAAAGCAGTTGTTCAAAATCAGAGAAACTAACATTTTGTATTTTCACATGTATGCATGTGGATGAAGACATCACTTGGAAATAGTTCAGAATAATCTCAAATCAACAAAGGAATCTCAGTTTAGGGCCGGCACAGAACATTTTATAACAATACAGTTTGGCTCATGATTAGATGATTTGGGTGAGATTTGAGGGACATTCAGTCTTCTAAGCTCTCCTCAAATGAATGCAGTATTGAATCCCAACAGTTTCCCTTCTTGCCCTAGAACAGTGGTTCTCAACTATAGGAACCCAGATGTATTGGCCTTCAACTCCCAGAAATCCCAACAGTTGGTAAACTGGCTGGGATTTCTGGGAGTTGTAGCCCAAAACACCTGGGGACTCACAGGTTGAGAACCACAGCCCTAGAGCAACAGTGTTCCGTGAAACCTCAGGGTTCTATAAAAGCATGATCGGGAGTTCATGTAACATCTTTAATATGAAATTTAAAATGGATTTTAAAATAAAGCCAGATGTTGCCAACTATTTGACTGTATCTAATGCAAAGGAAGGGGGAACATGGTTTATTTCCAAATATCCACCCACCATTACCAATGACATGGTAATGACAATGAATATGGCACTCTTGAAAGTAGATTCCCAACCCTTCTCCTTTTCCCTCCTAACAGTATACCAACTGGTGAGATTAAATTATGTTGCATAAGGATGTATGTGTGTGGTTGAGGTTGGGTCAGTGATGACAGCTCAAGTAATGAGATCTTCCCAGTCATCTCTTCACCTCTCTTTAAGAATTTGGTAATCTATACAACATTCTATTGGTACTATACACCAGTTGCTGTATTTTCTTTCTCTGAACAACCTATTTCTGCAATGTTTGATTCATTTGTTTATTCGTTCAGTTGCTTTTGACTCTTCGTGACCTCATGGACCAGCCCACGCCAGACCTCCCTGTCAGCCATCCCCATACCCAGCTCCTTCAGAGTCAAGCCAGTCACTTCAAGGATACCATCCATCCATCTTGCCCTTGGTTGGGCCCTCTTCGCTACTTCTCTTCCTATTACCACCCCTTATGCCAGTGTAGTTCACCAACAGGATTCAAGCCACAACTCTTACCTCTTTCATTCGAAATCTTTCCTTCTGGGCATGGAATACAGTCATAGCAGCAAAATGGCCGCCCTTCTACCCTTTGCTTACTATAACCTGGGTAGCAGTTGTCGTTGCACAGAGAAGATGGAGATTCCTGTTCACAAAAGAAAAAGAACATCTGAACCTATCCAATTCTCCCTATTAAGGACTGATTTTTTATTAGACTGACTTCACAAATATTTTATTATCTAATGCAGTGATTCTCAACCTTCCAAATGCCGCGACCCGTTAATACAGTTCCTCATATTGTGATGACCCCCAACCGTAAAATTATTTTCGTTGCTACTTCATAATTGTAATTTTGCTACTGTTATGAATCGTAATGTAATATCCGATATGCAGAATGTCGTTTCATTCACTGGACCAAATTTGGCACAAATGCCCAATACACCCAAATTTGAATAGTGGTGGTGTGGGGGTGGGAATTGATTTTGTCATTTGGGAGTTGTAGTTGCTGGGATTTATAGTTCACCTACAACCAAAGAGCATTCTGAACTCCACCAATAATGGAATTGAACCAAACTTGGCACACAGAACTTCCATGACCAAAAGAAAATATCAGAAGAGTTTGGTGAGCATTGACCTTGCATTTTGGAACTGTGGTTCACCTACATTCAGAGAGCACTGTGGACTCAAAAAAATGATGGATCTGGACCAAACTTGGCACGAATATTCAATATGGCTAAATGTGAACACTGGTAGAGTTTGGGGAAAATAAACCTTAACATTTGGGAGTTGTTAAGGTTTTTCTGGGATTTATAGTTCACCTACAATCAAAGAGCATTCTGAACCCCACCAACAATAGAATTGGGCCAAACTTCCCAAACAGAAACCCCATGACCAACAGAAAATACAGTGTTTTCTGGTGGTCTTTGGCGATCCCTCTGACACTCCCTCATGATCCCCCAAGGGGTCTGGATACCCAGGTTGAGAAACTCTGATCTAATGAGACACATCAACTAGTCTTCTGTATCAGCACTTAGCTAGGTTACTTGTTCTGCCTCTCTCCAAAATAGAACCATTCACCAGTGCTATGATTGCCAAGAAAATGAGACTCACCAATCTGCCAATGTCTGTTAAGTGTTGTTCTTGGGGGCTGCAATCATGATGATTGTGTCATGATGTGATTAAGCACTGATTGAGGGAGGTATACAGAATATTTAAAGACAGGTAACTGTTCCATTTTCACAGTAAGTGCTTAGTCACACTGTGACACTATTCACACACACTTTCCTTTAACTGTCCCCTATTCACAATTTTACTTTGTCATAATTTTGACACTAGTGCCACAATCATAACACACATATCCAACTTATTTTGCTGACTATCAGTTGCATGAGAATAAGGAGGTCCATCCTGCATGGGATTGGAGCATGAGTGAATGATGCTTAGCCTAATTCTTCTTGATTTACTCTGCTCCTCTCTTCTGCTCCAATATTTTAGTCTCTGGTGGCAAGCCCTCTTCTCTGCAAGGAAATTTTACTGTTCTTTCCTGAGAGGGAGATAGCTCACCATATCACAAGGGAGTCTGCTTGCATCCTCACCAAAATTGCCTCCCTGGACTCCTTTCATTTTCCATGAGGTTTTCTTCATGTTCAATGTGAGCCAGCATAGAAAACATACATGTTATGGGAGGGGGGCAACATAATTATTTCTTCATTAGCTACTGAGGTTAAAAAAACTGAATGGAGACTGATGTTTTATATGTAATTTATGTAATCTGTTTATTTTTGTTGCAAGATAATTCAAGATTCATAGAATCATAAAACTGAAAGAGACCACATGAACCATCCTGTTCAAACCCCTACTGTGCAGGAAAAGAACAATTAAAGTACCCCTGTCAGATGGCCATCCAGCCTCTATTTAAAAGCCTTCAAAGAAGGAGGTTCCACCAGACTCCGAAGCAAAGAATTCCACTGGGTTGTTGTAGGTTTTTTCGGGCTATTTTTCGAGTGATTCCAGCCATGAAAGCCTTCGACAATACAAATAGTTCCACTGTTGAACAGCTGTCATGGTCAGGAAGTTCTTCCTAATGTTCACCTGGAACTTCCTTTTCTGTAATTTGAACCCACTGCTCCAAGTCCTAGGACTTCATCAGATAGGCAAAAATTGCCCATCCTACGACACTTGGATCTTTCTTCAGGCATGTACATTATGTTGATTACTTTCAGCGAGGCTCCCTGTCTGAAGTGAGGTCCTAGCATCACAGGAAAACACATGTGAAAGCTAGGTGCAACATTTCCCCCATGGGCTAAGATAAGGGACAATGCGAGTGGTGCAGGGTGTGGGGTGATGTGTTCCCCGGCCCCCACCAGATTCACCACAATCCATAGAGAATCACCCACTATTGCCTGGATCCAGGACCTGAATATGATGAGATCCCTACTCTCCAGGGCAGCATTCAAAACAATGATCTTTGATTCATCTCCAATGTTTGCCAGACTGAAGCAAAAATGGGATCTCTGCTTTTTTTTTTTTTACAGTGGTTGCCTTTTTGACCATTTTAAAATGTCTAGAAATGCCACAAGATTTGCTGGTGTCTTACCTGATTGAACTTGCTCGGCCATACAATAGTATTGTCATGAATGGTGAACCTAATGTTTGGAAATATTTGTGGGTCTACTCTTCCCACTTTGACTCGAAGGAAAGACTCGTTGTTGAATGTAACCCAGTTGATGACATCAAACCCAGTAGCTAAATCCCGATTGTCATTAAAAGAAACCCTTTCACCAGCAGTGTTGTTAAATGAGACATTTTCCAGGAAGTGGTGGAGCTAGGTTGAGAGCAAAGAAAAGTAATTTAGTACTTATATCCACTGCTTAAATAAATCAACGTGGAATAATCAGGATAGCTTTCTATGATAACTAATTCCTTAGTAAAATATTTCTAAGCCGATTTAATATTAGAGCTGTGTAAGATCAAGCCCTGGGTTCAACTTAAATCAGATATCAATTTTGCAATTCGGATCTGGACAAAATTTAGATCAGATTGATCCAGATCCAATCCACTGAAATCCCAATCCTGTATTTGAATCTGATTCTAGAACGGGAAACCCTTTTCAAATTCTTTTTTTTCTTGTTTTTCAAATATCCAAGGAAAATTCAAAGATGAAAAGATCAATACAGTACAATGTCAGACAGTAAATCCATGAGATTTTTTGCCAAACACCTCTAAAGTTTGCTGGATTTAAACCAAAGAGGAAACTTGATTTATTGGAAACACAAATCCCTTTTTTAGCATGTGGACACATGTCACAAAAATATGATCTGCAGATCTGATAAATGTGGATTTGATATGTGTGGGTATGATTGAATTGAATGAAAGGAATGAATGAATGAATGAATGAATGAATGAGACCGAATAATTGGTGATGCATGCATAAGGATGAACGAATGTTTGTGGGTAATGTGAATGCTGAGTCAAAATGTAAATCCAAAATGTTTATTTTGTTAGCCAATGTAACTGTAGGTTGTTTGTGGATTCAATGTAGTTACATAGAATCTGTAAGTCTGTATGTCTAAATGTCATTCTTTGTAAAAAAAACTGTAAAAGTTCTGATACCCTTTCTCATACTGGAAAATTGCAATCAAAAGAACTATGTTTTAAAGTAATTGAAAAGTTATTCATAACGGACAAAGAGAGAGAAAGAGAGAGAAACTAGTCATATGTGCTGACAAGTTGAAAAAAAATCAGAACAAATAAAAACATATTGCAGCCCAAATTACAATTATTGGACAGATCTACCAATTAAATGGATATAAAACAAAATTGTAGCCGACAAACCCTCTGTGCCATTATTTTATAGAATCATGCTTTCGACACAGTAAAAACAAATATTCCAATTTATCTTGCAAGAGATTGAACATTACCTGCCACGATTGCAGTTTTCGAAGGTTTTGTTTGCCTCTATCTGTCCTGTGTTTGAACACAGAGGAGGACATGTCGTGCAAAGCATGAGCTATGGCATAGACAGCATTGTAGATACTATAGCTGTGACTGGTCATATTCAGTTCAAAAACAGACACAGGAAGAGTCTCCAGCTTCTCTTCTCCTGTACACATTGTCTCGGAATGGTCATCCAAACTGGAATTTGGGAACAAACAAAGAAATGCCTGTTGCCAGAAGTCTTTGAGAAAGCCATCTTGTGGGTCTGAGTTTGGTTTTCTGTTTTTCAGAAAGCTGTGGAAGCCTGAAATTTCCTCTGTGTGCACTGAAATGGATAAAGCACCATGGATGAAACTGAGACCCCCAGTTCTTTGGAAAAGGAGTGACGTAAAATCCATTTGGGCTGTCATAATCCATATTTTACTTATTCTTGAGTCTCCATGATATTCCAGGATTTCTACCAACAGTCTCAAAGTGAGAATTGTTTGTATTTCCCCATGCACAATCACTGTATTGACAGTGCTTCTCTTGACAAGATAAGCTGTTTCAAGGAGCCCCTCTCTCATGGTTTCCATCTCACTGAAAAAAGTCATTTGGGTTAATTGTTCTATGAAATCAAAGCAGATACCCCTCTGTGAAAACATGGGAAGCACTGTGTGTACAAACCTCTCCCCATGATTATCAGCTAGATAAAGGACTCCAGTCCATGACCATTGGAAATGCAGCATTAAGTGGAGAATCCCCATATATTGATGGACAACCTTTGGAAACATCCGATAGACAAAAGCTGCCTGGTTTTTTTCATTCATCAGTGGAGCAGAACCATATGTGATCTGAAAAACAAAAAAGGTAGACCTATTGTGGAAATAAAGTTATTTTATTGGTTTAGTCCATTATTAGAACATTTAACATGTCCTTCTGTCCTTATCCTTATGGTGGAAATGTGACTTTCATGTTGTCAAAATAAATATCAGTATAAGGGACCAAATTGGGGAACTCAAAGGAAATGAACAATGTTGGTGCTGGTTGCAAATACATTAAGTAAAGCCTCTTAAAGGTAAGAGCCCTCTGACAGTAGAATGAGCTGAGTCTCCTTCTTTGGAGGGTTTTAAGCAGTAGCTGGATGGCCGTCTGTCCAGGGAACTTGGATTGTGTATACCTGGATGGCTTGCACTGGGTGGCCCCTATGGTTTCTTCCAACTCTGTGATTCTATGACTTTTTACTGCATAACTGCACAAAAATGTCTCTCTTGTTGACCCTAAATGCTACACTTGGTGAAGAGCCTGCTTTGGCGATTGTATAGTGTTGTCATCCTATCACTCAGATATTGAATAACACTGTCAACAGGCATCTACAGTATAGAACAGTGGTTCCCAACTTTTTTTTTGACCAGGGACCACTTTGACCAGGGACCACTCTCCAACATTAGAATCAAAAAGGGTTACTAATCCGTTTTTAGTCAACTTTAGATTTGGTTTTGGTTATTTGGGGTGCTGATTCAGAAAATTGCATTGGATAGACCATATCACCTCTAGTTTCTGGTACAGAACACATACCATCCAGTAGTTGGCATCTGCTCACCCACAGAAAATGATATTTAATAATCTAGAGCTGATGTGGTAATAGCAATCTTTTGTGGATAGTCAGCCCCTCCCAACATCCCTGACGCCTCAGCACTATAACAGGGTTTTGTGAGACCAGTCGAGGCAACTGTGTAGTAATGGTGAGGCCACGGACCATATTTTTATTCTTGTGGACTACTGGTGGTCCACAGACCACAGGTTGGGAACCACTGCTATAGAATCAATGCATCTTGTCGCCATATTAACTACCATGGCTTCATCTTATGGAATCTTGGCATTTCTAGTTTGGTGAGGCATCAGCACACGTTTGCAGAGAGGGCAAAATTCCTTGTAAATCTACAATTCCCATGGTTCCATAAAATTTATGAATGGTGGCTATGGTGTTGTCAAACTGCACTAATTCTACAGTGTAGATGCACCCAGTCTGGTCTTACTATCAGGAAGTTCTTCCTAAATTTTTGGTTGGAATTTTCCTTCTTATAATTTGAATACATTTGTTCTGGTGCTTTCTTCTGAATCAGCAGAAAACAGGTTTTGCTATAGCCTTTTGATATTTATTCATGTGCTTATTTAATTTATATTCTATATATTCTCCACTGTTACTATACAGTAAAGGGCAGATTAGTTAAATCAACTTCATGTATAGGTTAAAGATGGATTTTGGGGACAAAATTATAGACAAGTCAAGGGTGATTCATCAAAGAGTGGAAAATGACAGCGCTGCTTTAGGGGAGCCAATCATCCCAGCTGCCAATGGCACTATTTTCTTTCCATGGCATTCAAAAAGGCAAGTGGCACTGAAGTAGAGAGAGTGTATGAGGTCACTTCTTGCTTTTGATTTTTCTGAGATGAACTAAGTTCTTGTCTTTTATTATTCTACTCAAAGAAAGAGATAATCTTTACACTAGCCCATTGATAAGTTGACCCAGGTTTTTGATCATTTTAACTACAATTTATAAACTTATTCATAAGTATAGACAGTCCCCAAGTTACAAACATTCGACTTATAAATGACTCATAGTTAAGAATGAGGGTGAGACAACAGGAAGTGAGAGGTTATCATGGGGAAAAGGTGTCTCCACTGAGGCTTTCTCACCAATCCTTGTTTTTACAATGAGCCAAATTGTTCAAAATGCAATTATCACAGGGACAGAAAGTGAGGTGAAATCTTCTGAACAGGGGCACAGACAACAAAACAAACACCACATGGATGTTAATTCAAAGCATGGCTGGAGTTACACTTGAAAGATGTACATATTCTGACTTAGGTACAAATTCAACTTAAGAACAAACCTATAGAACCTTGTTCATAACTTGGGAACTGCCTGTATATACAGTAACTGGTTTTTATTTAAGTAGAAGTTATCGTGGACATAAACCAACTTCTTCCGATGCAATACTGTGTGATACTAAAGCCTCAGGTCATAAAGCAGATAGATAATTAGATGAGGCATTTTTCTTAATTCCACTCCCACAATTGTATACATATTAGACATGTGCATAAAATTTGTTCCTACATTTTCTACCATTTCTTTCATGTTTTCCATTTATTCAGAAGCACAAAACTGGAAGCCCCCTCCCTACACAAAAATCTGTTCGACACGAAAGCCTGCCTACAGCCTGCTTTTGTGTGCATTCAAACTTGCCTCCTTGCCTTGGACAGAGAGTGCTTGTGTGGCAGGGCATGCAGGTAGGCAGGCCCAGAGCTTGTCTGCAGGTATGCTCTGGGCCTGCCTGCATGCTCCACCATACACACACTTTTGGAGAGTGTGATGGGATGTGTGTGGAGGAGCTGCAGGAAGCCCAGAGTCTGCCTACAGCTGAGCGCCTCTTACTCTAGAGTAAGAGGCCCTCAACTGCATGCACTAGCAGGTATGTGTGCTTTCTGGGCCTGCCTGCATGGCCCTCCACACACACTCTCTCTTTCCTTGGAGAGTGTGTGTGTGGTAGGGCATGCAGGCAGGTCCAGAAAGTGCATGCACGTGCCAGTGTCTACAGCCGAGTGCCTCTTACTCTATGATAAAAACAGCAGGTGCCACGTAAGAAGAACACACATCGGGAAGGGGAGCCAGTGGGTGGGAAGCCCCCACCCCCAATGGTCTGATTCTTGGGCCCCAAAATGAAAGAACCAGAAACAATCCTCACAAGTTTGGGAAGCTTCCAAAAAATGGATTAGGGCCCCCAGTGAAAGCCAGGACACGAAATGGGACAAGGTTTTCCCTGAATACACATGTATAATAAATATACTTTATAACCTGAGGCTTTAATGTCACTCTGTACTGCATCTGAAGATGTGGGTTTATATATTTATATAAAAAGCTTGTGGAAAATAAAAACCAGTACTGTCACATTCTCCTTCCCCTTTTTGCTCCAGCTTGGGAAATCTTTGATAAAGAGGAACCATGCTGGAGCTGATTCTATACATATAGAATAATATTTTATTTGCACAGAACCAATTAACTGCGGGGAGGCTTTCAGCCTTGTAGTTATGGGCAAATTCCATGCAATACCTTATAGTCATGAACAGTATGTTTGCAGAGTGTGTGATGTCCTAACAAGGTGTTCTGGCAGAAGTGTGTCCCTTAAACAGAAGCAACTGATAAAGAGTCAGATAACTGGGTGTCCCCACATTCATCATTGTCATGTACATCATGGGAGCCTTCATTGTGTGCACACCATTTTCATTTTAAAACTATACAATCACTGGTTGCAAATGGAAAAGAAAGCATCTACATCATTTAAAACTCTGGCATTCAGCATGCAGCTTTTACCTGTGGAAACTTATAGATACTTAGGATACCTGCCATGAAGAGACAGACATCAGAATTAGGTCCCCCAATGACTGCTACCAGTTTGTTCTGGGTGTCACATTTGTAGTTAGGGACAAATTTGTCCCAGGTAGAAAGGACTTCCATGGCTGCAAGAAAGGTCCATCTGGCTAGAAAATTGCTGTTGGAAATATAGAAGCCCAGCGTAATGTTGGATAAAAGCAAGGGGTTTGCATTGATCTCCTGCACAGCAAATATCAAGGCCAAGAGGTGCTGGTAGTTCTGTGTTATTACCCTATGATGAGAGTTAAAGATTGTGTCAGGAAACAGAAGTCATAAAACATTCAATATAAAACAATGTGTAAAGCAATGCAATATAATGTATATAAAACATATCTGTATTGTAAAATGAATGAATGCCTCAACCATGCAGGGAAAATTTGTTTGTTGTTTTCCAACATGAACATATATTTTTAAATTCTGCAAATCTCATCCCTTCAATATTTAATGCTGAATGCCTGATCAACCTGATTACTGATCATACCTCTAAAGCATGCGGCATCACCTGGATGACTTCTCTATGGATGATATCAAGGATCAAATACTTTTGAAAGAGGTCCAGCACTCAATCAAGTAACCAAGTCTTAAACTGTCTTGAACTCTGCATATTCTAACAGGAAAACTGGACAACGTCTGCACAGAATTAAGATACTAATAGAAAAATAAATTAAATCCATACATCATATCATTTTCCAGTTCCTCAGAGGGATGCTTTTTGTATGTTATCTTTTCAGAAAATATGAAGATCTGAGAGAGAATACCAGCAATGAGCACATCTCCAGACTGATGATACTTGTGATGTATAACAAAAGGGCGAGCAATATTCTCTGAATCACTGGGACTTTTGCATGTGATCTTAGGCAGAAAAATTAATGCCAGAGCCATGATGTACAAAGTTTTGTGTGCAAATGCTCCATCTGGACAAATATTTAGCGCTTCACCCATCATCATTCAAATCTTCTGCCACATTAGAATGAACTCTGGATTAGCCAGATCTGTATCGTATGAAGATTCAGCAGCCAAAGTGATTGAATCGGGCCTTCATCTAGCTACAGTTCTGGCAGATCTGGGCAATATTAATAGCATTTGTAATTATGTCCTCCTATGCATGTCTGCTCAAAAATTAGTCCCATAAATTCAGTGGGATTCTCCTCTGTATGTACACATGGGATTTGCACCTCAGATGAAGTGTTTTTGCTCATGGCTTCTCAAATTCCATGGAGATTTAGAGACAGATGACATATAATCATTGTGAATTTAGGAATTAAAGAAGAGTCTGTCAATGTATGATTTAATGTATGATGTGTGTGTTTAAATGTAATTTCATGCAGTAGAAATATGGTTGCCATAAGATTGTATTGCTACGATGTATGTTTATATTAGAGGTTGTGAGAAAGTAACCCTGAGGCACTCTCTGTGTGTAACTGTGAGAAAATTAGAGAGTGTCCCGTACCTAGCCAGCTGCAGTTTGTTTTTGTTTCAACTTCCTTTGTCCTGCTTTCTGTATACTTCATGTCTGCTCACTTAGAGTAATGGTTGTGTTTGGAACTGCTCTAAGTAAAATTGAACCTGCTTTATACCAGATGACTCCAGAGTCCATGTTTTCTTCTAAGCTTCTACAAAACTTCTGCTGACGCTAACAGAGTCAAATACAGATTATGGGTTTATCCTGTTTACCACATCTCAGCAAATGTCATGTCACGTGTCATCAAACCTGACCACAAGAGACACAAGGGTTTGTAATCACCAATGGAAAGAAATATTGCTGGAGCCATGACACTTTTAGACAGGAAAACTGTAACAAGAGAAGTAGAGCATAATTTTAAGATGATAGTTTTTGAGTGTTGGACTAGGATTCTAAGAAGTCAGGTTTTGGATACCTATTTTTCTGGCTACTGCTTTAAAACCTGACAATGGGTATATCACCAATAATTGTCAGCAACCACTTTTGATTTCATACTTTATAAATGTGCCCAATCTAAAAATTAGTCTTAATTGTTGACCACTCAAACCCAAAGCTTTGAAAATATGACCCTATTAAACCTCATAAGGGGACCTCACATCACCTCTAAAGCCCCACATTTTGTGGCTGGAAGATGAACAGGGCATTTGGGGGGGGTGTGTGCAATGGAAGGAGTCTGCCTTGCAGAAATTTTGTGCATTTTTCTTGGAAAGTTATCTCCTGTTCCAGAGAGGGCCCCGACAACTCTCTTTTCCAGTGGCACTAGCATAGGATAACCATTGAAAAATCGTGAAGCATGATGGGAGTTGATTTTTTTTCTCTCTCTCTCTCTCTCTCTTTATTGTCTCCCAGCAAATAAAAAGCCTGGTGGCTTGGCTGAGAATGGACACAACCAGAGACTTTGTGACGGCGCGAGTGGCGCCACCTATGTATAGAACTGTTAGTTGTAAGATTTAAACTGTTGTATTATGCTTAATCCTGTCCCTTTTACCATGTTTATGTACAGTTGTATGGATTGGTTGCTTGTAGCTGTCAATCAGTACTGTTTGGCTCCACCTCTTCCTGCAAGAGGGGAGAACTTCCTTTTCTTTTCATTCTGCCATGAGAGGTCCTGCCATATGGACGTGAATAAGAGACTTCATTCTTAAAGACCCTGATTTAAGTTACCTCTTAGCACCAGTTCTGAGGTTTTACCCCTGGGACTCATGCTTTATGTCCAGATCATCCTGGACAATTATTGAGGAGACCCAGGCGCCTTCAAGCCGGTTCTTTTGGCACCAGAGGAAGATCCTGAATCTTCAAGACATAGGCCATCTGAACTGGGGTTGTGGTTTGCTCCGGCATTCACAGCCATTGAGGAAAGAGGAAACCTGGTGAGGCTTCTCAGCTTCAAACCTCTTGGACCCAGAACTTATTGAGACTGTAAAGTATGTTTTCCTTCACCCCTCTGAAGTTTTCCAGCTCATTGCTTTAAAGAAATGACTTTGTTATCAATAAAACTTATTTTGAGCTGTTTACAGCGTTTTGGGTTTTTGGGAGTTCCAGTTTCCTAAAGGAGGGCAAGAAGCAATCCCTTGGGGGAAAAGTGCCACGTCCATCCCTCCTTCATTAAGACTAATAGCCCCCAAGCGCGACGGCACAGACTTCAATTCCCAGAATTCTCAATTCCCAGAATTCTGTCCTGCGGTGTGTCTTATTTTTTAAAAAGGTTGTGGTTAAAACTTAAAATATTTTTTTAAAAATCTGTAGATTGGAGAATTGTTTTGAAACTTGGCAGGCCTGCAGTTGTAAATGGGGTCTGCAAATGAGGTAGGCTTCATGCACATAGGCCTTAAAATGGCTGAGGATTGAGGCTTTGAGCTGAATCTCTGCCAAATGAAATGGCAACATCCCTCCCCTTTCGGGTGACTTTCTGTTAAATGAAATGAGAGGTCAGACAAAAGGGACCCGAAAATGGCATGCCTTTTGGTCCAATTGCGTATGTCTACTATTTAGACATCTGATCAAATGTGAGTGTGATATTGTGGTTACTGTGTTAGTTTAAAATCTAGGACTTTCCATATTGAATCACAAAATTTATCTAGTGAGCTTGGCCCAGTCACCAGATCTGGTGTGTTATGTAACAGGATCAAAACGAAGAGCATAGGAAAGCATTGCAAATTATCAATGAGCTACATTGGATAATTAACAAGCAAAGGTCTAAATCTAATTATACACCCTCATGAGAATAAACTAACTGTATTGAATGAGCTTGCTAAAGTCTTATCAGTTCCCACTGATTCAATAAATATACTTTAGTAGATCAATTGAATAGTAGATCTATTAGAAACTCTTTGGGCTTCTATAGTGTTATTCTTTTTGTCTAAGGACCAGACTACATTGGCTGCTTAAGCCAGAGCCAGTCAGATTGACTGTGACAATGGCCAGATGCACCTGGCCAAGCCCTCTGTGGCACTCTGCTGCATGGGCATCTAGACAGAGTGAGACCGTATTGACACATTATAATCAAACTTATCAATGCTATGTTTTTTTCATAATTGCATATTCATCCTTTTCCATATTGATCTTTATGTTGAATGTGACCGAAGACCCCTTTGACTGCTTCTAATATACACAGAGCCAAATTGAATATAGTGAAATATCCAAATGCTGAAAGTGTATTTCTCTTTGTCACATATCTAAGAAGTAACCATCACTTACACAGTCCTCATGTTTAATTATTCTTAAAAGGAGATCACTAGACACTTATGTTAGTTTTTCACATCTGTATTTATTTATAATTTATTTGCAACCATATAGGTTGAGTGAGCCAGTAGTTATTGTAGTCATTTGAGTATTGAATATGACTTTTGGAGTCCAGAGTTCAAATACACACTGGGACATGGAAACCTGTTGGATGACTTGGGCAAATCAAACTCTGTCTGCTTGAAAGCAAGGCAAAAGAAACCCATCCTTTGAACAACTTGTTACAATAAGTATATATGTATTGAAGAAAAACCTTATTTTGTGCAATTATCATGAGCTGCTGGCAAAGTAGATCAACCAGCAATCTTGGACCACACCCAAGGTCTATATCTGTTTGAGTTTTCTTGAATAGATTCTGGAGTACCAGCATGGAGTTCCAGCAGGAGATGCTGAAGGAGAGATCCTGAAGGAGAGCTTCTGGAGAGCCTTTTCTTTGAGGAGACCCATGGACAAAGGCTTTGCCTGGGGAGGAGTTTGGAGAAGCTACTCTGAAAGAGGCTATGGGGAAATAGCATTTACTCAAGGTTTATTTTGATCTCCCATTTGCTATAAGATGAAGATGCCTTATTTTGTGTTTCTTACAAAGACTGTGTAAAGTTTGTTGCACTGCTTGTTTTTGTATGCAACATTGCCAGTTTATGTTTTCATCTCTGCTGAGTAAAGAGTAAGGATTTTTCAGTTCACTTTTACTCCAGTCTGTGAGTCCTTTGCATTTGGACTTTGGGTGCTGAGTAACACAACTCTTCCCAAGAAAACGCCATGATAGGTTGTTCTTAGGTTCACCATAAGTTGGAAATTATTTAAAAACAACAGCATCAAAAATACCAACCTATAGAACAGGTTATTCCTCCAGATTATATTCTTCCTAAGTTTCTCCTTTTGTTCAACTCGGGCCTTAGCACAATGATGTAGCATTTGGGGAAAAAGATAAAACCCAGTAATCCAGCACTGGAAGCCAAGATAGAGAAGATTTCCACAGCCACCATGTACTTCCCTCTGATACTCAGGTAGGTGGGTACAAAAGACAGCCATACACTGCAGAAGAGCAGCATGCTGAAGGTAATAGATTTGGCTTCATGGAAACTGTCTGGCAACTTTCTGGCTAAAAAAGCCACACTGAAGCTTACGATGGCCAAAAAACCCATGTAACTCAGGGCGCAATAAAACATGGTGAATGACCCTTGATTACATCCCACAATGATGTCTTCAGTTACGGAATACATGTCCAGATCTAAGAATGGAGGAGAACTTGCCAACCACACAGTACAAATGGTGGCTTGAATCAAGGAGCAGAACAATACAATGGAGGCAGCCAGTCTCTTCCCTACCCATTTCTTCATCCTGGACCCAGGCTTGTTAGCCTTGAAAGCTAGAACAACCAAGATGGTTTTAGCCAACACGCAGGAAACACATACAGAGAATATGATGCCAAAAGCAGTTTGTTGAAGCAGACATCTCAGTTTCCCAGGTTGGCCAATGAACAGAAAAACACAAAGGAAGCAGAGGAGGAGGGAAACTAGAAGAACGTAGGAGAGACTCTCATTGTTGGCTTTGACAATAGGTGTGTTGCGGTGCTTCACAAAAGTTCCTAGCACTAGAACTGTGATGAAAGAAAATAATAGAGCAAATATAGCCAAACTGATGCCCAAAGGTTCCTCATAAGACAAGAAGCTTAACTTTTTCGAAATGCATGCGTCTTGGACATTGTTTGCATACTGGTCTGATGGGCACTGAAAACAGTCGTCCATGTCTGAAAAAGAAAATGTGGTTTCTAATGCACATTTTCTAATTACTCCAGACCACACTGGAGTAATTAGTTTTTAACACTGCAATGGTACAGATAGGGTACTATCTGAATGAAATAAGGCAGATTTGCACCCTTTGTATGAAGTCTGTCACTTCATCACACTAGAGGAAAAATCCACTTAAAATCCACTTAACATAACAATATAAAAAGCATATAAAACTATCAAAAACATATAATCACCAGTGTTGTCCTGTTAAAATCATTTTCCAGTAGCATTGTCTAGCCATTTCATGTTCCTACTTCATAGTGTCATGTTTATCTATTCTGCTTCATTTTCAAAAGCTTGCTCAAAGAGCCAAGTTTTTCATTTTTTTCAGAAAGTGAGGAGGGACAGGGCCAATCTAATATCCCAGGGGAAGGAGTTCCACAGCCGAGGGACCACCACTGAGAAGGCCCTGCCCCTTGTCCCCACCAGATGCGCTTGCGAGGAAGGGGGATTGAGAGCAGGGCCTCCCCAGACTATCATAAACTCCTAGATAGTTCACAAGGAGAGATACGTTTGGACAGGTAAGCTGGCCTGGAACCATTTAGGGCTTTATAGGCTAAAGCCAGCACTTTGAATTGTGCCCGGTAGCAAACTGGCAGCCAGTGGACTTGGTGCAACAGAGGAGTTGTGTGCTCCCTGAGCATCACCCCCGTTAGTAACCTGGCTGCTGCTCACTGGACCATATGAAGCTTCCGAACAGTCTTCAAAGGAAACCCCACACAGAGTACGTTGCAGTAGTCTATATGGGATGTAACCAGAGCGTGGACCACCGTGTTAAATGCTCCTCCCTAAACTACAAACCCTGGAATTCTGCAGGAGGCAGAAACCATATTTTAAGTGGATTTTTTGTCTAGTGTGATGGTTTGCAAAATGCTCAGCAATGATTGAGGAGCAAACATGAAGACTGAACATTCAAATAAGCAACCCAATAGTGATGGTACCACCTCCCTTCACCATCATTATAATTGACTGAAATCTATTATCCTTTAATCCTGCTTAATTGGCAGTGTCATCATGTTCTTCTCTAAATGCAAAAAACATTAGGAAAATAGTTGAAATCAGCTGATTGACTCCAGTGCATGTTCAGGTCCAATCTATCTTTGTGACCGCATCTTCTTCTATGAACCGGCACAGGCTTTGAGATCTACTGAGGAGGCCATTCTCTCAGTCCCACCACCCTCTCAAGCATGGTTGGTGGGGGCGAGAGAAAGGGCCTTCTCAGTGGTAGCCCCCTGGCTCTAGAATGCCTTCCCTAGAGGGATTAGATTAGCCCTAACTCTCCAAGCCTTCTGGAGTAGTTTAAAAACATGGCTTTTTAGTCAGGCTTTTGACCTTGTATAGTTTATGGCCAGATTTGAGAATTTAGCTACTGTTCACTCCAGCACTTTGGACTGTTAATGGAAGACAGCTAGTCTTACCTGCAGGCTCTACTACGTTTTATGAATTTTAAAATTTTACTAGATGAGGTTGAGGTGTGTTTATTGTTTATGGATTTATGTTGTTGTTTTAGAGGTTTAAATATTCTTTGTTCTATGTTTGGCACTTCAAATGTGCTCTTGAGAGCCGTCCCGAGTCCCTTCAGAGAGATGATGATGGGGTATACATACATACATACATACATACATACATACATACATACATTAGTTGTGATTAAAATTGTGTGGAAACTGACTGGATTCAAACTTAGTCATAAGTAATATTTTATATTGTTTTAACTGAAGTTCACTCCAACAAAAGGAATCCACCATTTAATGGACAAGACCAAACATTACTTCATCATAACATAAACTAAATATCCACCTGCCTGAATTACTGTATTTATTTGAATCTAATGCTCACCTTTTTTGGCTAAATGAATTGTCCAAATGTTGGATGTGCATTAGATTTGCATAATACCTGCCCGAAATACCATATTAACTCGAATCTAATGCTCACCTTTTTTTTTTTTGGCTAAATGACATGTCCAAACTTGTGCACATTAGATTCACGTAATTCAGTAATCTTAGTACTGAGCCAAAGCCAACAAGGAAGCTGCTTCAGGAACTGCACCTGGAACTCCTATTTGATTTAATGGCCATGGCTCAGTGCTATGCGATCCTGGGACTTGTAGTTTGGTGAGGCATCAACATTTTTTGGCAGAGAAGGCTCAAGGTCTTATCAAACTGCTGCCCCCATGATTCCATAGCATTGAACCAAGGCAATTAAAGTGGATTCATTTTATAGCATAGATGCACCTAACGTTTTATTTTCCATTGCTGGAAGCTTTGATGCTCTTAATACTTTTGTTTTATAAAGAAGGAATCCTAATCACTCAGCAACTGTAATGTGCTCCATTACTCCTGTAAATGACAAACAGTGCCCTTTTTGCCACTGCGCATTACATTCGACAGCAAATACTTGTTGGTTTCAGGGTTTTGGAAATTAAGGTGCACATTAGATTTGATGGTGCATTCGACTCAAGTAAATATGGGTATATTGTGCAACCCCGCTATTGAATAATAATGCAGCTCAACATATTTTGATCAGTGGTTGATGTGCATGCCTCACAATCTATTGTGAAATTAGAATGTGTAATGTGCAAAGGCAAAGCACAGAAACAATTGTATTCATATGAGTATATTACTCTTTGTACTTTAATGTGCTACCCACAAATAAAATGCTCTAATATACTTAATTTTGCTTTTACTGCAGTCAACTAGATGAGACAGTTGCATAATGTCCCCCAAAATCAAGTCACATGTGTAGCACAACTTGTGCCTGTGTTTGTGTCACTAACTGAATGACAGCCTACATGTGATAAACTTTTCACACATTATTTCTTACCTGTCTGATTTGAAATCTTTCCTTTGGGGCATGGAAGACAACCATAGCAACAGAATGGCTTCCCTTCCTTCTTTGTCCTTTGGAAACCTGAATAGCAGTTGTCGTTACACAGAGAAAGAGGCTGTGTCTGCCCATAAATTGAAAAAAGAATGTCACATTAACCTTTGCAGATGGTTTGAGGATGGATTTATCAATTTAATTTTAAAAAATAATGCTAGCCTGGATTAAAATGACAGCGTACTTGTTATACCATCTTGACACCCCCTCATAGTAAAGCTCTTCAGAAAACATTTCCATTAAAACAGGTTCAGTGCAGAGTGTTATCCTTTGGAGAACAATAACATGTTCTTTGCAATGGTTTGTTGCCTCTTCATGCAACCTGTTGCTTTGTTGTAGATTGGGTCCTGTCATTATTGCAGTTACTTTGCTGATTTAATTCCCCCATTTTGTTATGTGTCTACTTTTATGTATATTGTATTCCTGTTGTAAGCTGCTCCATCCCCTCAGGGAGAGAGGACGGGATATAAAAAAGCATTATTATTATTACTATTATTACTATTATTTTGTCATATTTTACCATTTCATTTTGTTCTCTGCAGTTGCTTTTTCTTTGATTACAGACTCTTTGATTACAGACTGGGTTGCAGCTAAACGTCAAAAAAAAACAAGATTATGGCAACAAGAATGATTGACAACTGGAAAATAGAGGGAGAAAATGTGGAGGCCGTGACAGACTTTGTATTTCTAGGCGCAAAGATGACTGCAGATGCAGACTGTGGCCAGGAAATCAGAAGACGCTTACTTCTGGGGAGGAGAGCAATGTCCAATCTCGATAAAATAGTAAAGAGTAGAGACATCAGACTGGCAACAAAGATCCGCCTAGTCAAAGCCATGGTATTCCCTGTAGTAACCTACGGATGTGAGAGCTGGACCTTAGGGAAGGCTGAGCGAAGGAAGATCGATGCTTTTGAGCTGTGGTGTTGGAGGAAAGTGCTGAGAGTGCCTTGGACTGCGGGAAGATCCAACCAGTCCATCCTCCAGGAAATAAAGCCGACTGCTCATTGGAGGGAAGGATACTAGAGACAAAGTTGAAGTACTTTGGCCACATCATGAGGAGACAGCAAAGCTAGAGAAGACAATGATGCTGGGGAAAGTGGAAGGTAAAAGGAAGAGGGGCCGACCAAGGGCAAGATTGATGGATGGCATCCTTGAAGTGACTGGACTGACCTTGAAGGAGCTGGGGGTGGTGACGGCCGACAGGGAGCTCTGGCGTGGGCTGGTCCATGAGGTCACGAAGAGTCGGAGACGACTGAACGAATGAACAACAACACACAGACTCGGGGCATGTCTATACTGGATTGGTTAGCCTGGTGTAACTCTGTGCTTGGATGTATGTGCTAAATCCAGGACTATTGTCCAGATAGCCTGGGATCGTATCTGCCTCGATGGGTTGTCACTAGACTTGTGCATTTGTATAACATTGCTATCTGTTTCTGTTGCTTCATTTGCAAGCCCCTCGTTTTCATTTTAGAGCGCCTCCTGAAAACAGGTGCTTTTTTGTTTTGATCTTATTTTCATTCTGGAGAAGGGATTCCTGTTTTGTGCTCCCACCCAAAACAAAAGGAAGGAATGAGCAAACAAAACAGGAGAAACTGGTACCACGCACACCTCTAGTTGTCACTTCCTCTGTGTCATTGCCACCACCAACTTTAAGTGGGCAAGGAGCTCTGTCCAAGCTTCTGGCCATTGCAGGTGCCTCTGTTGATGTCAGAATAGGACAAGCATGTGGCCATTAAGAAGAAGGAAACAGTGGCAGTATGGGATAATCCATCCAGTTCCCCTGTGCTGATCAATATAATGAAAGCATCTACCTGGAAAGTGGATGAGGCCAGACTGGACACAACCCAAACTGCCCCAAAGCCAAAACTTTACTTAAAGTATAATATATTAAGGAACCTGGTGTGCTCACGGAAAGCTGTTTGCATCATGAAGGCTATGTATAAGATTAATAACGTTATGCATAAGATTAATAAGACTGAGCTACAGACAACCTATTTGCATTGTGTTTAGATTATAGAATAGATGGAAAAACCAGGGGAAAATGCTTAAACGCTCAAACATACCAAAGTATAAATATTCAATAGTATTCCTGTACCTTTGTATTATGTAACGAGAAGTCAAGGGTGGAGGTTCCCGCGTGGGGATGGGAAGGTAATGGGATAGGAAATAAAACTTGTATTTTGATGGTTGAATTTCAAAGATTGTATGTTTCTATATATGTATATATATATGTGTATATATGTGTATATATTTGTTGTTGTTGTTCATTCGTTCAGTCTTCTCTGACTCTTTGTGACCTCATGGACCAGCCCACGCCAGAGCTCCCTGTCGTCCGTCACCACCCCCAGCTCCTTCAAGGTCAGTCCAGTGTGTGTGTGTGTGTGTATAATCTTCAAAAAAATGAAGGCAGTCTATTTATAGTGAATCTAGGTCATTGCCCCAGTGAAGACAAGCTCTCAGTCAACCAATCTCAATACATATTTTCTCTATTCTGCTCAATGCATTAAAGCTTATCCATAATTACTCCAATTTTAGAAACCAAAACAAAAGAAAGCTTTATTGGGCCCCTTCTACACTGTCCTATATCCAGGGGCAGCTCAACCATTATGCAAAGTAAGCATTTGCAGTATAGTTTATTTTGCCAGGGGCGCTCTTGAGGCGCTCTTGGGGGAAAATAGACCTTGACATATGCGAGTTGTAGTTACTGGGATGTATAGTTCACCTACAATCAAAGAGCATTCTGAACTCCACCAATGATGGAATTGAACCAAATATGGTACACAGAACTCCCACGAAAACAGAAAATATATATCAATGATTGGTTGGGGGGTGGGGTGCCAAAATATTGCTTGCTTACCGTTGAAAATTACCTAGGGCCACCTCTGCCTATATCCTAGGATCTGATCCCAGATTATCTGCTGTAAACTGGATTATATGAGTCTCCACCGCCAGATAATCTAGAATCAGCAAATAATCTGGGATCAGATCCTGTGCTATAGGCCCTTTCTATACTGCCATATAATCTAGATTATCAAAGCAGATAATCCACATTATCTGCTTTGAACTGGACTATCTGAGCCTACACTGTCATATCATCCAGTTCAAAACAGATAATCTGGATGTTATATGGCAGTGTAGAAGAGGCCCTTGAGGTACTGTGGAAGTGGCCTAAATTTGTGATATCAATAGATAAAAATGCAATAAGATTTGGTTACAAGAACAACAGCTCAAATTATGGGCATGCAACTGATCAAACAAAACAAATTCAAAACAAAGAGCAAACCATTAAAAGCACAATTGAATTATAAGACCCAGCTTTGAGTAATTTTATATACGTTTGCACTGTTAGTTGTGATTCAGCATACATTTCTGCTTTCATTGGGCTAAGAGAGTTGCAATTGATTTCAGTTGCAATCCTATATTTACTTACTTGAACTTGAACCATATTTTTAAAATGGTGTTTAATTCTAAGTAAACATATGTACACTACATGTCCAGACTGGGAATGAGTCAACAATGAATAATTGTATTATTCCTTGAATTTTAATGAAGGAAGAAATAGCAGGAGACAACCTAGACATTTGCAAATGATCATACCTGATTAAACATGCTTGGCCATGTGATGGCATCCTCAAAAATGGTCAGCATTTTATCCGGGCCTATTCTTCCGACTTTGACTTTGAGAAAGGATTTGTTTATAAAGGTCACCCAGTTTAGAACATCAAATCCAGATATTAATTCCCCGTTTTGGTCAAAGGAAATCTTGTCCCCAGCACTATTGTTAAATGAGACCCGTCTGAGAAAATGATGGAGCTAAATGGGCCAAGAGACAACAACATTCGTTAGAATGTACAGATAGATTGAAATATGAAGTTCAATTATTTATTTATTTATTTATTTCAAAGTTTTCTATACCGAACTTCTCAACCTCATTGAGAGACTCAGCCCGGTTTCCAACCATAAAAACATATACACCCATTAAAATATCATATATCACAATTACAAAAACAGCTTTAAAATAACACTATGTATAAAACTACAGTGGTCAGTCGTCATATTAAAAACAGATCTACATCATCTTCCATCCAGAGTCCTAGGGTGTTGTCTCATTCATCGAAAGCCTGACTCCACAGCCACGTCTTCACCCGTTTCCTAAATGTTAGGATGGATGGGGTGGTTCTGGCCTCCGGTGGGATAGAGTTCCAGAGTCGCGGGGCCACCACCGAGAAGGCCCTGTCCCTCGTCCCCACCAGATGCACTTGCGAGGCCGGTGGGACCGAGAGCAGGGCCTCTCCAGATGATCTTAATAATCTTGATGGTTCGTAGGGGAGAATACGTTCGGAGAGGTAAACAGTTCAATATACCATTTAACTGCTAGTACACAAGTGCTAGTGTATATAGTCCTTTCAATATCACTGAGATCTGTATGAGGACCTTCTACCTTTATGCAAAGATTTGTATCTGCTTCATTTCTCCTGCATTTTTATTTTTCAACTCTACGTACTACCTTGTGGTAGAAGTCCTCTAGTTGAGCACCTCTGGATTGCAATCCTTACCTGGTCAATGGTTTTTGTAACTGTGGCATCCAGCCAGAGTCCATCCGTCCATCCATCTGTCCACCACCACACACCCCACCCCCACCTGGGCATTTTTGCTGAAGTCTGCAAAAGCATCTAGTGATGGTCAAGATCTTTTTGAATCTCTCTATTCACACATCATATCAACTAAGATAACACAACCCTGATCTATCTTTGTTTCTCTGCATTGTAGAGCATGTGGGGAAAGGGATGATGTTGCTAACATGTGCGGATAGCAGATCACTTTGCTTTGGAGCTGCTGTCCAGACTCACCCAAACAATGGAGTTACCTTGGAATTTTGATGAAACTCTGGAGCATTCCCTGATGTTTTTTTTTTTTTACAGTGAGTTAAATCTGCTCAGCCCAATATACCCCGTGTTAAGTACTGGAAGTCTTTGGGCATAGTTTGGACATCCAGGTTTGACTTATTTTTCACTTCAGGGTGAATACCTAGTTTGGACAAGTCCATGATAAACTTTCCCATTAGTGTGTAGAGAACATACTTGCCATGCTTGCCAGTTCTGAAGCTTCCAGCCCTCTCTGTTTATCATACTTATGTGGTCCAATCTGGATGAATGCATGTTGCGTAGAGCATGTGCCACAGCATAGATAGCATTGTAGACATTGTAACTGTGAGCAGACATTCTTATATCAAAGATAGCGCTAGGAAGAGCCTCCAGTTTCTCCTGACCAGTGCAGAGGTCTCTGTCTGTTTCAATGGCAGAGCTGGGGAATGAGCAATCAAATATTTGCTCCCAGAAGTCCATCAGGAAACCATCTTCTTTGTCTAGAGTTGGGCTTGTCATCTGAATAAATCTACTAAATCCCAATATCTCCTTTGAGTGACTTGCAAATGATATAGCACCATGAATGAATTGAATATCGCAATTCCTCAGGAAGGAAATCAATGTGAAATCCATCTGGGCTGTCATAATCCAAAGCTTTTTCACTGGTTCTTCTTGAAAAGTGGACATTTGGAGAAGCAATTGAAAGATTATCATGGTCTCAACTGCACCATGTAACACCACAACATTGACAGTAGCCTTTATCATACTATCAAACATTTCAAAACCATATGCTACCTTTTCAACCATATCTGTTGAATAAGTCAGTCCAGGAAACCTCTTTATGAAGTCAAAGCAGACACCATGCAGGGAAAATATGGGAAGCACTCCCTGTATAAACCTCTCTCCTTCTTCATTGTCTTCAGAAGTTAACCCAATCCATGTCCAACTGAAATGAAGCAGTAGCTGAAGAATTCCCATCGCTTGAAGGGTTTCATTTGGGGACATAGAATGGAAGAAAGCAAGCTGGGGTGACTTATTTATCACTGATGAGGAACTGTATATGAGCTAAAGTAGCAAGGAAGAAGAAAGAATAGATAAGCACAGATCATTTTAAAATCAAGCATGATGATATGAGTTTGTGTGTGGAGTAATTGTTCCAAAATTATAAGTCACTGTTTCCTTTAGCTTGAACTGGGAAAAAAGAGGGATTTTCTTTATTTTCATTATCTATTTATTTATTTATTTATTTACAACATTTATATGCCACCCTTCTCACCTCAAAGGGGACTCAGAGCGGCTTACAAGTTATATGTAAATACAATATATTATAGTATTAGCATAGCACAATATTTGTAACATATATCCCCATATTGTACTATACCAGTATACTGTAATATTATTAGTAATATTACATGTAATATGAAATATGTAATTATTATATTGTATTATTATTGTTATATTGTATTACATTATAATATTATTATCAATATTATATGTGTATACAATATATTATATCATTAGCACATATATGTGCTGTGGCTACAAATACAATGGACAGGAATACCAATAAAACCAATGCTTCTCTCTAGAAAAAATCTGACATTTAAGCAAGACACAAAGTAAACATCTTTCACCTGGCAGAATAGCTTTGTATTTCCAATGGTTACTTGAACCTTGATGCTCTATGTGCACTGCACACCTTACCTGTGGAATCTTGTACATGTTCAGTATGACTGACATATGTTTACAGATGTCAGACTGAAGTCCACCCAAGACTGCTACCAGATTATTGATGTGATTGCATCTGTAGTTAGGGATGAATCTGCCTTGTGTTGAAAGAAGCTCCATTGAAGCTTGAGAGGTCCCTTTGGGGTCAAGATTGTTGTTATAGATGAGGAATCCCAATGTGATGTTGGTTAAGATCTGGGGATCTTTATTTATTTCTTTTATAGCAAAAACCAAGGCCTGGATGTGCTGATAGATGTGAGTCAAGACCCTAATGCAATGAGAGTAGATAATTATGATTTAATTTTGCTGTATGTTAGTTAGCCACACTGATTGAGAAATTGTACAACTTCAATTCCATAGATGTATCAGGAAACATTAGTACATACAACTGGATTCTGGCTGCTTTGAAACAGCTGGTTGTGGTAGTACTGTTAATAACATTAACAGATAAGAAGACAAATAGAAAACAAACTGCATAAACAATATAGTCTTATTATTTCTGCTTTTGCTTACCAGAAAGATGAAAAAGCAATATGGAAATATGGAACCTAGGTTTCACTTCTTGAGCTTGGCTAAAGTTGCTGAAATGCATAGATTACTTACATATATGTATCCTACTAGATAGTTTGAACTTCTTGTTGTGTGCTTCCAATGAGTGGTAACTATAAACAAACCTACCACTTGAAAAACTCTGTGATAATGTATTGTCGAAAGCTTTCATGGCCAGAATCACTGGGTTGTTGTAGGTTTTTTCGGGCTATATGGTCATGGTCTAGAGGCATTCTCTCCTGACGTTTTGCCTGCATCTATGGCAAGCATCCTCTGAGGATGCTTGCCATAGTCAAGAGTACTTTCTCCCATATATAAACCAAATTTCGTAGTGTCCAAATTTGTTAGTGTCCAACAGACCTTGCAACCTCTGAGGATGCCTGCCATAGATGCAGGTGAAACGTCCGGAGATAATGCTTCTGGAACATGGCCATACAGCCAGGAGAATTCACAGCAACCTAGAAAACTAAACAGTTTTAGAAAGATAAGCCAAGAAAATAGTAAATTACATTTATTAAAAATGTTTAAGGGTGCAATTTAGTGTTCAAAGCACTATAATACTAAAATATTTCATCCCACAATCCATCCTAAAGCACAATAGATCAGCTTGTAAAACATGGTCCAATATTATTGGAAGTCAGACCTGTAGGTTAATCAGATTCTCACTCTTTCCCCCCAATATCCATCAGTGTAGATAGTATCACAGAAACAAACTTAAGAGGCATTCAACTTTAGCCTTGGTATTTGTCTAAATTCAATGCACATCGTTACTGAAAATAAAATCAATGATTATGGCATCATTAAGAGAGGAAACAATTGCATACATGTGCTCTTCTCTCAGATTTTGAGAGGGATGAATTTTGAATAGTATCCCATCAAAAGGGATGTAGATCTGAGATAGTATGCCACCAATGATGAGGTCCCCTGACTGATAATATTTATGACGAATAGCAAAAAGGTCACCAACAAAACATTGACTAACAGGAACTTCACACACCGCCTTAGGTAACAGGAGCAGTAATCCAAAGCCTACAAGTACGAACATCTTGTGTGTATATAAAAATCCTTTTGCTCTGAAATATCAATTCTTCACTTTGCATATCTTGTTAGCACAGCCTAAGTGACATGACCAATCATGCCACAGATATACTGTTCCAACAGCTGAATTGCACAGAGTAGAGTACCAAGTCTGTATCAAACCATCTGACCAAATAATACAGGGGACATTATGAATAGTACTCTTCCATTGTGGTTTACAGTTTTGCAACAATTCCCTGGAAATTTGAAAGAAGAAGTGGAGTTTATCATGGTTATCTTGATAATTAGATAGGAGATAATTACTTGGCTGGTTTTATGTGCAACATTACAGGAAAAACAAGTTTATCATGTAATTCCAAAAGATCTAGTTAGGCCTCCTCAAGTTAGGAAAGATATGTTTGAGGAATATAACTTCCAGAATCTCTCACTCAGCTACACAATTCTAGGAGGTGTAATACTCACATGCAGTTTTCAATGCTCAATGTAAGATACACGGTCATCTTATAACTCATAGCAAAGACACTATTAAATTAACAGACAAGTGTTCTTTCTCCCACCCTGGACATTATTTCACAGATATATAAACCCAATTTTCTTAGTTTCCAACAGACCTCACAACCTCTGAAGATGCCTGCCAGAGATATGGGTGAAACGTCAGAAGAGAATGCTTCTAGATATGGCCATACAGCCTGAAAAATCTGCAACAATCCAGCGATTCCGGCCATGAAAGCCTTCGACAATATATTAAATTAAGACTTTCAGAAAGAAAGCATTTCACAGATAAAACAAGGTGTCCGTTTTAGAAGTAATGTTTAGAGGAATTTTTTTAATGCTTCACTGCAAAATTTAAATGTCATGCTACTCTCTTTCAGTGTTGCATTGATGTATTTTTGTTTGTCAATCTTTCCTGCTAATATCTGTAAAAAGCGTTGTTGTTTTTTTGCTGAAATTCTTCTAGAATGGTGGTGAGTTACATAGATTGCAGTATCAATGGGAGATAGGATTCCAGTTTGACTGTGGATCCCAAAAGAACCCTGTGTATTCATTAGTAGGGCTGTCCAAACACGGAAAAATTTGTTTCTAAACTCGATTCGTTTTTAGGGGTTTTTTGCGTTTTGTTATTTAAAAGAATTCCGAAATTTTCCTTAAAAAAAGTTCGATATTTACGAAATTTCGGAAATCATAAAACAATTACGAATCGATTACGAATCGATTCGTTAATGGCGGCCGCGATCGCGCAATACGCTAAAAAAACTTCTGAAGCTTCCCTCTCCC